AATAGCAAACACTGGGAATCAAAATAGATTAGCCTTATCCCCTCGTCATTCCAACATCTTCTGCTCCTCTGAGGAGGGGCAAGTAGGACAAGAGAAGGTCCGGTAAGAGCCACCTTGCAGAGGATCAGGCACCACCCTCCTGAAAGACGAGCAGTCTGTACTTCCAGACATGTGGCCTACTGACAACCTGCTACCAACCTGTCATGTGATCTGGCATACCACACAGTGAAGCATGAAGAGCAGGTTAATAGTAAATGGGGCTAGTAAGAGTTGCTCTGTCCATTATCAGTGAAAGAGCTGGGAAGGAAGGAGGTGCAGTTGGCCTTCTGCAGATTCAACCAACTGCAAACAGAATGTTTAAGTGTCATATTGTTGCTGACATGTACTATGTGGTCAGGCCTACTAACAGACTTTTTCTTGTCATTATTCCCTAAACAATAGAGTATAGCAATTATTTACATAGTACTTTCATTGTATTAGACATCATAAGGAATCTAGAGATGACCTAAAGTGTACTGGAGAATGTATGTAGGTTATATGCAAATACTACACCATTTTTATATGAGGGACTTGAGCATTCATGAATTTTGGTATCTGCAGGGGATTCTAGAACCAATACCCCTTGGATACAGAGAAACAACTATACAGCCCTGATATTCAGTACTTTCTTCCTATTATCCTTCATCGTAAAATCTCTCGTGTTAAATATGAAGCACATGCACATTACAAAAACGACTTGCTGCCAGCACGTGACTGCTTTCCATTGAAAAATAGGGGAGAGACACTGGTGTGCTTTATCTTAGTCACCATAATGGTTTCTCTTCTCTCTATACTTATCACAGTTACATATAGCTATACTAGCTTCCATAAACCATTGTATTCATTTGAACAACGAAACTTTTAAAATGCTCCAAATCAAAGCAACCTTGCTTCCACTATGTACCAGTCTGGGTCACTTCATCATCTGATTTTTTTCATAAGCAAACACTAAAAGGTAGGTACAAGCAAAAGGGAACACTTCACATCTGCTGCCACTGTATTACCATTTTGTATGCACCTGATAAATTTTCTTTGTATCATCACTGAACTAAAAACATCAAACACATTCTGCTACCATATTTACTTTTTTGAATCTCCTAGCCCATTAAACTCTTATATTCCAAGACAAGAAAACAATATATACCAGACACCTGCTAAGTTCTAAGAACTATCCGAGTCCTTTCACATGGCATTCTACCTTTATAACCTCTGTGAGCAGGGAGCAGTGCTATCCCCATTTCACAAAGAAGGAAACAATTTATCCACGAGCATATCACTCCTTCTCTCATCTGTTCATCTGCAGCTTAGAAACAACGTATGGAAGAATCACCCCCCCAAAGACCTCGTTGTCTACAGGAATCCCATTCAAACTTAGAACACTTGTGTCAAGAACAAGGTGACCATCCTATATATACTGTAAACTGCAGGCGATTCTTTCCTTTTCATTCTATTATATACAGAGAATACCCAAAATTAAAGACTTAGTCACTTACTTTCTAAGAACTGATATAAATGAAAAACAACCTTCCCAAAAAAACCTTCATAAAAGGTTATCCATAAGAGAGTTCAAGGTGTCTTACAGAAAGCAGCAGATGTCTGTTAATAAAACATAAGGCAAAACTCGGAGTTTGTGCTTTCTATGGTGCAATAAAAAGTAAAAGCAGAGAGTATTTTTAGCTCTTCCCAGACTAAAAGGATTTAACCAAAGGATCTTCTCTAAGTCTGGTTTTCCATGCATTGATTAAAACTGACCAAGGTTACTAAAAAAACGTAAATCATTTCCTGACCAGAGAGCATACAACACAAACGAAGAGCACATTCCACACAGCCTGTCATTAGCAGTGGTCTGATTCTGATTTCCGTCACTCAGCTCTCTCCTTTCATTCTGATTCCAACAAAGTTAAAAAAAAATATGGGAGGTGCCAGGCTATAAAAGAGACAAAATGCCACCATGCAAAACTGTCATGGAACATTCTTGTAGACAAATATGGCTCAGAATGCACCTTATATCACATTCAGTCTCTGCAGACTGCACAAATACCAGCTGTCCAGGGATCTTCTCAGTAGTTGACTCAATAAAGCTCCCAAAAATATGCCTAATACAGTCAAATGCTAATATAGGACACGTGGAAATAGGTAGTTACTTCCCCTTGGGTTTTACTTTTTAAACAAGTCTGGTGACAGCAAAACAAAGTATTAGTTGCATATGTGAGCAGTTTGATGTCCTTCCAAATTGATGTTAGGACTATGCATATTTAGCTGAAGTATACTGAGAAAAAGCCTGATGCCAAAATATATAAATCCTCAGAAAAATTAACATATTTTTCTAAAATCAATCCCTTGAGATAATGTTTATGGCAATTGTTAAATGTTTTTATTTAAGGGTAATCTTGAAAAAAAAAGTCATAAATCAAACCTGCACATAAGTAAGAATGAGGTCAATATTAAAACAGAATGACATCAAAAGAAACAACTGCTTTTCCCACTTTCTATAGGAGCTAAGAATGGATGACTGTGCTTGACCAAGTTATTCCAATACAGAATAATAAAAACATTTCTTATTTTACATTTCACATCCTTCTGGAGTTATTTTTCCTTCAAAGATGAAGAAAACATTCTTCCTTCATACATGAGGAAAAATAAGAGCAAAAAAATCAAATTAGGTAAGAATTTTCAGTGACTGTCACAAGAGGATTCCTGTCTCAACTATTTCTGGTTATGTATTTAAGTTTCAGAAAAAAACTTGAATGGACGCATGTCCCAATTTAAAAAATGAAGCTATATGTTTATCATCCAGTTCTTCTGAGTAACCAGCAAGAGTAACTGTCTTGCTGATTATTAGCAATATTAAATTGATCTAGAAATACATAAAGTCTCAGTTACTTTCTAATCAAAGCTTATTTTGAGTGCTCTTTATGTTGGTCACATCGATTACTGATAAAATAGGTGCTTCCTGTATCTAACAGTTTGTACTTATCACCTGATTTTATAATGGAGAATAGGATCACTGTTTTACATATTTACAAACAAGTAAACATCTCCCAGTTGAAAAATATTGTTGAACTATGAAGTTGACTTCATGCACATAAAAATGCAAGGAATAACCATGATCCAAACAACATTTAGTGTCATCTGTAGGTTCCATGGTCTATGACTTAAGGTCTCCTTCCGAAGATTTACAAACTAGGCACTGGCCCCAAAATAAGGGTTAAAAGCTAAGAAAATCCTGCTGTATCTGTTTAGCAAGATTTGGATACATGGCAGGGACTCAACTGTGAGCAGAATTAAGTTCCCATAGAGAAAAATTCAACTTGAATTTCTAATAAATACTACATGGTTATCCAGTCTACTCTGAAAGACATCTGAAAAAAATCAAACACACTTACTTCTGAACTTCCATAGGAAAGAACAAAGATTAAAAAAAGAAGCCACAGCATGATAAAATTTCCTGAGACTACACAAATTCTAAACCTGTCTCAGTGGCACAGTTTGTGCAAGGGGCCACCATCTGTACCACCTGGCTGGCCGCAGGCAGATTAAGAGACTTTCTGCCAAGATGGAGGCATAGGTGAACACAATTTGCCTGTGCAAACAACTACACCAAAAATTACAACTAAACTGCAAAACAAACATCATCCATATTTGTCAGTAAATTGAGCTATATGGATGTCCGACAACCAAGGACTTAAAGAAGCCACATTCATCCAGATGGGTGCTTTTTCTACAATAGGCCATGCTACTAAGACATGGAGTCAAAGCAGCTCTACCTAATACATAGAGACAAACACAGGGAGGCTGCCAAATTGAGGAGACAAAGAAATATGGATCAAATGAAAAAAACAGAACAAAACTCAAGGAAAAGAATTAAATGAAATGGAGATAAGCAACCAGGAGGAGAGGGGCAATGGGGAAAAATTTGGGACAACTCTAATAGCAAAATCAATAAAATATGTTAAACTAAATAAATAAATAAACCTGTCACAATCCAGATGTTTGGAATTACTAACAGTCTCTGCATCATGTCAGCCAAATACAAGCACGGTGATACTGGTATTTATACACACACCCTAAGGAGAGACAGTATTCTTACCCAGTAAAGTACTAATAGAATTGTAACTGCTGCACAGAATGTAAGGAAATGATGTAACCAACCCAACACCAACATAATTCTTTCTCCCAGTGGTGGTGATCACTGTGAGATGCCTTGTTCTCTCTGGTTCACCCAGAATCTCCGGGAACCAACCCTGCTAAGAGAGCAGGAGTAAAGATGAAGGTTTCGGGATCTGGCACAGAGCCAAACTGTGGCCTGCTTGAGCAGTACATCCATAACTTTAGCCTCAACTGTGCTAAGTAAGCATAAACCACACTTTGAAGTAATAATCCTGAGATTCTTTGAAAAGTTCTAAGCTTAGACTTTTCCCTACCTCACGCTGACTTCTTCCAACAATAAAGGTATATGAGCAAGCTTGTACTTCACTAGATCTATTCAGATGAGAGCTCAGGATGCAATGATAACCAAAGCTCCACAGATAATCTTACAAGCCATTTTTATAACCACCATCTTCCTAGAAACTATATTTAATCAGATAACAATACAAATGTAAAAATAATCTCACATGTAAAGTTTGTTAGGCATAAGTTAGGTCTAATTGTGAGTGCACACCCACACACTCTCCCTTGCAGACAATTAAAATTCAAATCACCAGTTCTTTGTCTTAGAAGTAATGCACTATCTATCATTGGCAGTGTTTTCTTTCCTTCTTTTTTTTTTTTGGTAATATATTTAATAAATTATTTCCCAAAAAGTCAATTTCTATTTTCAAAAAATATCTCAGTTACTAGAGATGAGAAACATTTCATCTAAAAATGCACTGTATCTCCCAGTCATCCTTAATTGACATTCCAGACACCAGGCTATTCCATAGTGATAGAATAGGCCTTGGGACCCACTGATTACTTACTTGTTAATAAAAGGTTCAATGAGTTTTGATCTGGCAGACACATGAATTTTTGGAGGACTAAGAAATGAACCTAATTAAAAAAAAAAGCAGAGTATTATATATACAGGCAAGTAGACAAAGCCTGAAAGTTCAGGAAAAAATACATTTAAGTCAACAGTATGGATCAGCAAGAGTAAAAGGTACTCACATGGGCCAAGTCCCATCCAATCAGTACAAGTCAATGGTTCCTCCCTCTTTACTCTCCATCCCCTCCACTCCAATCTCCTCCAACTCCAACCCCTCCCACTTCTAACTGGGTGAGTGGAACCCAGGGAAACTGTAGACATGGTAAAATCCCCTCTAAACCACGATGTTTGACAGACACATATACAGTGAGTACCTAGGTAGTTTGTCATGGAGATGAAACACAATCCTGTGATATAAGCATCATAGCCTGCCTCGTGGAGCTGCTCAGAAGCTGTGTCATAACTTGGGAAACCTTCTGCACTTTCTAAAGGGTAACAAGAAAAAAAAGTTTTACTAAGGACATCATAAATCATGAAGACAGGTAAGTGTACTGCCCTACAAAATCCAAATTGTATTTAGTATGTGCTATAGGAATATTCTAAATAAGCATTTAAAATGTATTTTTTAAAATTCCCACTTTGTTAATTATATTTTATAGATTATCCTATTACATCCCAATTATTCCCTCTTTACCCTGCCCCTCCATCCAGCACCCTCCACTCACCAGGCAATTCTCACACCACTGTTCATGTCCATGGGTCATGCACGTAAGTTCTTTGGCTCCTCCATTTCCTATACTGTACTTTAGATCCCCATGGATATTCTGTAACTACCTATTTGCCACTTCTTAATCCCCTCACCTCCTCACCCATCCCCCCACAACACCCTCCCATCTGGCAACCATCAAAATGCTCTCCATATCCATGATTCTGTCTCTGTTCTTCTGATTAGTTTGTTTTTTAGATTCCATTGTTGATGGAAAATAGGTATTTATTGCCATTTAATTGGTCATAGTTTTGATCTTCATCTTTTCCTTAAGTAAGTCCTTTTAACATTTCATATAATAATGGTTTGGTGATGATGAACTCCTTAAGATTTTTCTGGTCTGGAAAGCTCTGTATCTGCTCTTCAATTCTAAATGATATCTTTGCTGGGAAAAGCAATCTTGACTGTAGGCCCCTGCTTTTCACTACTTTGCATATTCCTTGTGAATCATTTCTAGCCTGGCAAAGTTTCTTTACAGAAATCAGCTGACAGTTGTATGGGAACTCCCCTGTAGGTAACTAACTGTTTGTTCCTTGCTGCTTTTAAAAAATCTCCCTTTATCTTTAACCTTTGGCATTTTAATTATGATGTGTCTTGGAGTGGGCCTCTTTGCTTCCATCTTGTTTGGGACTCCCTGTACTTCCTGAACTTCTCATCTATTTCCTTCACCAATCAGGGAAGTTTTCTTTCATTATTTTTTCAAATAGATTTCCAATTTCTTGCTTTCTCCTCTCCTCCTGGCACTCCTACAATGCGAATGTTGGAACAATTTAAGTTGTTTCAGAGGGTGCTTACACTATCTTCACTGTTTTGTTGTTGTTGTTGTTGTCTGATAGGTTGTTTTTTAGTTCCTTATGTTCCAAATTATTGATTTGACTTGGCTTCATCTATTTCACTGTTGTTTCCCTGTAAATTGTTCTTTATTTCAATTAGTGTATCCCTCATTTCTGACAAGATCTTTTTTATGTTGTTGAGATGCTCACTAAGTTGCTTGAGCATACTTATGACCAGTGTTTTGAATTCTGCATCTGATCGATTGCTTACCTCCACTTTGTTTAGTTCTTTTTCTGGATTTTTGACCTGTTCTTTCATTGGGGTCATTTTTCTTTATCTCCTCATTTTGGCAGCCTTTCTGTGTTTGTTTCAATGTACTAGGTACAGCTGCTGTGACTCCTTGTCTTGATAGTGTGGCCTAATGTAGTAGGTGTACTGTATGGGTCCAGTGGCATGGGCTCCCCTATCACCCAAGCTGGGTACTCAAGATGCACCCTTTGTGTGGGCTGAGTACACCCTCCTCTTGGCAGCTGAGCCTTGACTGCTGCTGGCAAGTCAATGGGAGGAATTTACCCAGTCGTATGACCACTGACCACCAACCTCTGCCCCTTGCTGTTCTTTATATCCCTGGGACTATTTTGTAACTACCAATTTGTACTTCTTCATCCCTTCACCTTTTTCACCCAGTCCCCCAATGCTCCATCCCTCTGGTAACCATCAGTCTGGTCTCTATCTATGAGGAGTCTGTTTCTGTTTTGTTTATTTTAAAAAATCCACATATAGTGCTGGCTGGTATGGCTCAGTGGATTAACTGCCGGTCTGCGACCCAAAGGGTCACCAGTTGGATTCCCAGTAAGGGCACATGCCTGGGTTGCAGGCCAGGTCCCCAGTGGGGGGAGCCCGAAAGGCAACCATACACTGTTGTTTCTCTCCCTTTCTTCCTCCGTTCCCCTCTCTAAAAATAAATATAATCTCTATAAATAAATAAATCCACATATAAGTGAAATCATGATATTTGTCTTCCTCTGACTTATTTCACTTAGCACAATACCCCTTAGGTCCATCTGTGCTGTCACAAATGGCAAGATTTCATTTTTTTTTTATGGTTGAAGAATATTCCATCTTATGTGCCACAGCTTTTTTATCCATTCATCTACTGGTGGGCACTTGGGTTGCTTCCAGATATTGATTATTATTAAATAACACTTGCAATGAACGTAGAGGTGCATATATTCTTTCAAGTTAGTGTTTTGCATTTCTTTGGATGTATAGACACAGAAGCGAATCTCTGGTTCACAAGATAGTTCCACTTTTAATTTTCTGAGGCTCCTCCACACTGTTTTCTATAGTGTCTGCACCAATCTGCATTCCCATCATTCTTTGTTGATTTATTGATGATAGCATTCTGACAGGTATGAAGTAATATCTCATTGTGGTTTTAATTTGACATTTTTCTGATGATTAGTGATGTCAAGCATCTTTTTATATGTCTATTGGCCATCAGTATGGCCTCTCTGGAGAAGTGTCTATTCAGGTTCTCTGCCCATTTTTTAATTGGATTGTTTGGGGATTTTTTGTGTTGAGTTGTATGAGTTCTGTATAAACTTTTGATATTAACTCCTTACCAGATGTATCACTGACTTCCTTTGCTGTGCAAACCATTTTAGTTTGATGTAGTCCCAGTTGTTTACTTTTTTCTTTTGTTTCCTTTTCTTGAGGAGATTTATCAGAAAAAAGAATATTGCTAATGGAAATGTTTGGGATTTTAGTGCTTATGTTTTCTCCTAGGAGTTTTATGGTTTTGACTCTTACACTTAAGTCTTTAATCCATCTTGAGTTTATCCTTGTATGTGGTGTGAGGTGGTGATCTAGGAGGTACCATTTTTTGCATGTATCTGTCCAGTTTTCCCAACACCAGTTATAAAATAGACTGTCTTTACCCCCATTTGATGTTCTTGCCTCCTCTGTCAAATATTAATTGACCATAAAGATGTGGGTTTCTTTCTGGGCTCCCTGTTCTGTTCCCTTGATCTACATGTCTGTTTTTATGCCAGTATTCTGCTGTTTGGATCACTATGACCTTGTAGTATAGTTTGGTATTAGGTAGTGTGATGCCTTTAACTTTGTTCTTTTTTTCTCAAGATTGCTGTGACTGTTTTGAGGTCTTCTGTGGTTCCACATAAATTTTTGAATTATTTGTTCCAGTTCTGTGAAATACACCATTGGTAATTAATTGCACTAAATCTATAAATTAAAAGAAGCTATTTTTTAATTCTGTCCACATAAGCCCTGACAATATAAAATAACTGAGTCACTGAAATTGAGGGCTTTGTCTAGGCCACAGCAATGCCTCAGTTATGTTATCAAAGAGAGACGTAGGCCTCCCTACTGCACAATGGTGGATGCCATTTACAATCATGCCTACCTCGCTTTATGACAATGATTCCTCTTCTGATTGTTCTCTAAGGTCACAAAGAGGAGTGTCTTCCCTTACAACATCAAGGTACAACAAGAATTTCATAGTAATGATTAACAAGGACTCTAGAGTCCCATTGTGTTTAAGTGCAAATCTCTGCTCACCACTTATGTGCAATGTGATCTTGAGCAGGTTGCTTTACTTCTTCTTCTCAATTTTGGTAAAATGAAGACAATAATGAAACCTACCCATTTTATTAGATGAGGATCAAAAGAGGTAATGTAAGTGAAGCTCTTACATAGTGCTTAGTACAAGACTCACTATTTATTACCCATTAACACCCCAAGTAATTCTCCCAAAAGCAACACTTCAATCAATATTGGTAGCTCAATTCAATATTGTCCTCTACTATGCTGCAAGCTGACAGTTCTAAAGATGAAAGCACAACTAACTCCAAAAGCATATCAGAACTTCCTGTAAATCTGCCCTTAGAACATAGGACCACTTCATATGAGACCATTTTATAACATGATTCTTTTGTACATGGATATACACAAATGCTGAGAGGATAACATCTGAGTGACCTACTTGCTTTAGAGTAAAATTTCCACCAGATACCAGAACATTATATGGAAATAGTATGATAAAACTATAACTCATAATTATTTACTAGATCCACTCAGGAAACAAGTATCAAAAAGGTTGCAACAGCCCTGGCCAGTGTGGCCCAACTAGTTTGGCATCGTCTCACAAAGTAAAAGGTCAAATCTTGGTCAGGGCACATGCCTGGGCTGTAGGTTCAGTCCCCAGTTGGAGAGCATGCAAGAGGCAACCAACTGATGCTTCTCTCTCACAGTGATGTTTCTCACCCTCCCTGTCTCCCTCCCTTCCTCTCTGCCGAAAAATACATAAAATCTTTTTAAAAATCTGGAGTTCATAATAAAGAAAAAATAGGGATGCAACAGAATCAAAAGTGTAAATGAAAATTATCAATAAAAAGGCTGTAATTGTTTTTATATCAATACAATGTTCTATAAGCAAGAATTATTTAACTTCCATAAGTATTAAGTATTAAGACTCTAAGCTTTAAAAAAGAATCTTAAACATGACAGCCAACTAAGCCATCGCCTCTACTACCAGCTGAAACACAGATTTTCAAAACCAATTAATTCCATTATATTGTTATAGAAAAGGTCGGGTTTTCTTCCCCCAACCCACCCCTTTTCTTATGTCCTTTTTTTGGACTATTACCCAGAAAGGGAAGAAAATAACTGTATTCTTGGCTACTTTAGTATCTACCACTGTAAATGTCTGAATCCCTGGTCCTATTACCAATGTCTTCAGAATTCTGCAGGCTACAGCTAATGGAAGGCTATTTAGAGTATCAGCAGCACAGTGAGGCAAACATGAACCAAGGAAATAACCTCTGGATGGTTCACCAAATACCTAGGTAGCTGCCATGGCCAGACATGGCAAAACATTTCCATCCCAATAAACATTCCTCCTCCCTTCTTTTAGATTCCCTCATGGCTGCTATTCCACTGCAAAGCAACCTCTGAAAGAGGAACAGTGGAGAGGACTCTCCTTTCTCATCCGTAACCCTTGGGCTTTTCTGAGACAAAAGTCTATTTTCATTCTAGCCCTGGCAATTAATCACCAACTCTTTGTCTCTGCTTAAACAACACACCATAGAAAAAACACATCAAGTTTTGGGAGCATTCCAAGAATTAGGAAATAAAAGCCCTGAAGGTTTAACTGCTAAACTTCTCAATGAACAGGCTACCCAATTCTATGCACATAAACTAAATGTAAGGTTAGAAGACCACTTTTATTCAGAAAACACAAATTTAACACAGGGCATAAGCAAGTTAATTTTGCCAAAATCTATAAATGTGCAATGTAGTTTGTAGACCAGTTTTATTTTTCTTCTATAATGTACACCAATACCTAATCAACACAAAGAGTTTGAGGCTTTCATTTTATATTTTGTATTCTTACCAACTTTAGGAGGGTTGAAAGGTGTCTCTTTTAATCGCTTTTCCAACTCTGCAAGGGATGTGTTGTTAATGATATCCTGCAAACCAGTAAGCAGAGAATTACGAGCCGTCATCATCTCAGTGCAATACATGTTAAAGAGATACTGCCCCCTTGTGTTCTTTAAAGAAACACAGGAGTCATCATTTGGTCAATGTGAAAGAGAAGCAGCAAGTTTAATTTTCACCATGTGGAGGGTTTTAGCCATATGAAAGAAGATTTGTACAAATGTGCTAAATGTCTACAGATCTTGGACCAAAAAGTTATACTTGTTCTTATACTGTGGTGACATTCATTTCACTCAGCTGTATCAAGTCACTTCACAAAGTAGCAAATGATTATACTTTTACCTGAATTTTCTTGATTGGAAAATATATAAAATAAGAAAATAAAAAAGAAGTGTGTGCATGTATAACCTATTCAAAAATACATTATATATTTTAATGTTAAAAACTTACATTTAGAAAGAATAAAGGGGGAAAAATAATTCCACCACCCAAAGACAACCGCTATTCACATTTAGATTTACATATTTCTAGTCTTTTTCCAATTTCCTTTTTTTTCTTTCTTGTTCTTCTTTTTTTTCTTTTTTTGGATGGGTTTGAAAATGACATTTAAATAGACCAGGACTCCAAAAGCTCTTAGTAGCAATTCTGAAAATTTCAAATATAGCTTAGCACTAATAGTTCAAATTTTTAAAATACCTTAAAAGGTTGTGTGCTGGCCATCAATTTAGTATCCAAGAGTCTAAAAACAAAAGAATTTTTAATAAGGTAAACAAAATGTATATCCATGTTCAAAATATATTTTACTCAAATGAATAGCCTATTGTCTTAAAAGTGGACAGGAGAATGAAACATATTAGCCATTGTGAACCTGGTCCCGGCATCGTGGTTAGACTGGGAACTTGGTCCCCTTAACCAGCAACTTAATCAAGAGGCTGTGGAAGAGTCCATACTCTGCCATACGCAGAGCACAAGTTCAGGATTTGCTTGTACCCTGAGACAATGTGGGCTACAGCAATCTCAAGGGGAAGTCAAATATCCTCACGTGTCTTTATATGGTTCAAATACTGCTGCAGGTCTAACACTGCTGAGCCATTACCATCTACCATCACTACCCCAGTTTGTACACTATAAACTCTTGGAGGGTCAAAATCTGCATTTGATAGGTTCATGCTATGTTGTTATTTCTTACTACTGTGTTTCAGATTGGAATACTAAAAAAGAGAGACACTAATGTGAAAACTGTTTCTTTGCACATAAATGTGAACACTAGGCAATAGGACAGAAATATCCTGGCTATCTGACCAAATGCTCCACTGCCACGACTGCCCCTCTTCAAACAGGCCCTCAAAAGCAGAGGCTTGCTTGGTCAGCTCCACATGGCTGATGTGTGATCTATTAGTCATGTGACATGTGACTTACCAGAACTAACATGCAATATTAACTGTGAAAAACATTAAGGGGTAAAGGCACTGACTGTAAGTTGAGGGAAAAAATCTCTAGCTAGACAGTTCCTGACTGACTACAGAATACTCTCAACTGGACATTTCAACAATATTCAACCATATATTTATTCAATTTTCAACTGAACACTCTCAACTGCCCACTTCACTGTGACATGGTACATCCAACATAAACGAAAGACAAGAGCCAACTCAAGAAAACTTCATTATTTCTTTAGATATTAATACGGAATGAGAAAAAAGGAGTTGATGTTTTCACTCTCAGTTCAAATTCTGATGTTAATGAATGACAAAACCAATCACCTATTATAAAAGCAAGCCATCACTAACTTGAAGCTATTAAATCATTTCCCAACTTATATGAACTGGATTGTAATCATGATCTAATAATAGTTTCAATAAATTACTATATACCTATTTGGATTATGTATGCCATGACTATTTTAAATGAAAGACAAATCCTGAAAAGAAGCTTACCTTGGAAAAACACATGTTGTCATCTCCTTAAATTCATTTAAGTCCTAAAAAACAAGAGAATAACTTGTGACAATTTTATTAAGACACTCACAGTATTAAAAACATACACAAATATTTCTAGCTCCATAGGTCTCTTCTCAAACTATTATACCTCACACAGGCCCTTTAAAGCTAAAGGACAGACCCGTTTCTGGTTAATAACTTTTTAAAAATCTTCACAATTTCCTCACTGATTGGAAATCATAGAACCTGATGTAAAACCTCTATGTAACCAAAATAGACAAACGTAAGTATTTTATGGCTGAAATAGGAGGGGAAAAAAGGATTTTATTGTATGTAGAAAACTTTCAGTAATAGCTCTATTACACAAATTCATCATTATAGTGGGTCTAGGAAAATTATTTAAATAAATGGTTTGTACAAGAAATGGATACTGTAAACTAGGTTATACTTTTATTGGGAACATCTCTGAAATGTTAGTTAAAACGACCACTAAAACACACACTTTCCTATATATACACTATTCCTGTTTTGACTATTCAGAAAATTGCTCAAGTGGCACTAACAGCAAGTACCTAAATGAGACAATTCATTTCCCAAATTTATTTTGATCAGAAAGTCTAAAGCTTAAGTGAGATTGCTCTAACTTGAATTAACTCATTTACATACATGCATAATTGCCACACTAGACTGAGAGTCATATTCCTATATTCCTGACCCTTTGTAACTACACTTCTCTTCAGCATTATTCATGCTTCATAAGAAACTGCCATTTCCAATTAGCTCTTCAAGCCTGTAAATACAGACTATATTTAGCTACTTTGCAAAATTTACCAGCTATTCAATGGCTATCATTAAATTAATGAACAATATATGAATAAGTCATTACAATGCTAATTCAAACAAAAATTCAGTAAGGACTGTTTGTAATCTCTCAATACTATTAAACACTTCACAAGCAAGAAAAAATTAGACTTATGGCTACTTCCAGGGCCAGTAGTAGCAGAGTTCTAGACCAGTGCCTTCTATAACACAGGTCATGTGGAAGTACCATGAAGATTCTTAAGAAGAGACTCTCCCTTAAAAGGCAGCTCCAAAATAGGGATTCTTTAGTATACTTTTAAATGCCTATTTTGGCACTAGACTTTGTAAAAGTTCTACCATTTTACATAGCTTTTCTCCTTTACATCACTGCTTCCAAAATTAGATAGGAGAAAACCATTTTCTCCCTCTGACAATGATAGAACACAAAGAAGTTAAGTAACTTATTCAGGTTTATTTATTATTTAGTAATAAAGCAAGGGATAAAACCATTTATCCTAATCCACCTCCTGCTCTTCAACAAATCAAGCATTCTTTCTACTGGAATTTGCTTCAAAACTAGTTTTATTCAAGGTAACATTTATTAAGTGTTTACCTACGAAATGCTATATTAGGCATTTAAACAGACAATAACAAGATTATACTCCTTGTCCAAGAGTCTAATCACCTAGAAGGAGAAGGTAGGTAAGCTGTAAAGACAACATTCATGCACCATAACAGGTACACAGTTGTGTGGGAGGTCAGAAAAAGAAAAGATCACCTCTTAGGCAAGGCAGCAGGCAGGGAAAACTTCCTGGAGGAGGTATAAACTAGACATTAGTAAGACAGGTAAAGTTGTACACAGCAAGCATTTATAAAGGCCTGAGAAAATTCAACTTGGAGGAAATTATATTCCAAAAACACAAAGCACTTCCCAGGGAACAAATAAGCTAGTCTGATTGGGAATAAGGAAAGTAACACGTGACCACACGACACAAGAAGGTTGTGCCAGGTCACAGAAAACTTGACATGCCAAGTTAACTTATGCAAAATCAACTCTATAGATGTGGGATTAGTTCAGAATTTTGAATAGGGTCAGTAATGTAAATAGTCATATACCAGAAGATTCTAAAACTGGCACATTGGGAAGATAGTCATTTGTTAAATCAATATTCAATGCCTTCTTATGTGCCAAATTCTGCTTGATGTCCAGAACACCTAGAAACACACTTCCTCTTTCCTTACTGATAACCTCATTGCTGTAAAGATCCAAGAGTCATGAGAAAAGCTGCTGTTTTAACATGTTCAGCCAATAAGAAGTGGTTAATCTGAGATAAACATTAGATCTTTTTTTAAAAAAAAACAACTTTATTCATTTGTTTGTAGACAGAGGGGAAGGGAGGAAAAAAGAGAGGGAAAGAAACATCAATGTGTAGTTGCCTCTTGTGTGCTCCCCACTGGGGACCTGGCCCACAACCCAGGCATGTGCCCTGACTGGGAATCGAACAGGTAACTCTTTGGTTAGCAGACTGGAACTCAATCCACTGAGCCACACCAGCCAGGACTGCTAAACATTAGATCTTTAGATTTATACAAAGCAAACTCACACCAATCATGTTTGTCTTGAGACTCACAAGTATGAAACCTTTGAATCCCAGAGAATGATATAGTTGTCATGAAAAGAAGTGACAACCTTAAGGTTGCAGAAATAGGACAAGGGGGGCAAAAGAGCTGCTGTATTCATGGTTGGGCTGTGCTGGACTTTTCCAAAGGATAGTAATCAAGATGCTGATGGGACAATGTCCCCTGACGAATGGAAAGTAACTGAGGCTTTGCATATGTATAAATGAGACCAACTCCAAATCAGGTATATCTTTCAATCCAAAAGGAATAAAAGATTAATCTAGTGGCAATTTAAAGCAGGGTTGGAAAACTATGAACTACAAGCCCAATATGGCCCATCATCTACTTTTTTAAATCAAGTTTCATTAGAACAAAGCCACATCTCTTTCCTTCTACATTCTATGGTAGTTTTCAGGCTACAGAGCAGTAGCAATTGAGAGTTAATGACAGAGGCAGCACAGCCTGGAAAACCTAAAATACTTATTTTACCATTTGGCCTTTATAGAAAAAGTTTGCCAACCTATGATTTTAAAGGATGGGCTAAAGGTTAAAGTGAGACAGGAAATCCTGCCTGACTTTGCTAAACTCCAGATGAAAAATAACTCACTTGCAACTGAAACAAAAAGAAGCTAAATGTAACAGACAGCATGGAGATAAAATTGTCAGAATTTTGTAACTGACCAGATCTGGAGGAAGGAGAAAGAGTCAAAACCTATGTTAAAAATAGTCTTGGTGATGGGTATCATGTATGGTAAAGGAATCAGTAGAAGAAAATGGTTCAGAGGCAATAATAAGGAAAGAAAGGTAGTGTAAATTACAGATATCCTTTGCAACATGTAAATTTTAGACACCGTTTAATCTGAAGGCTCTCCAGGTCGAGACATTTGCAGTCCAGCATGAACTGTGTGTCCAGTTCTGAGGAGACTAATGCCAGTGTCTTCAGCTGAAGTCATGAAAGTGAGTGAGACCACTAAATTGAAAACATGGAGAGAAAATAAAGGAGATAGGAAGACAAGTGAGATAAGTCCATGTGCAGTCAGGACAGAGGAGGAACAGACAGAAGAGAAGCTCTTTTCCTGAGGAGCCGAAGAAGCTTGTGGTTCCATGCACTAAGATAACTTGGCTCCAAGAGTGAAAATATACTCAGGTCAACAGAGAATCTACGGGAAGCAGCCTAGCAAGAGGTAATCCAGAACTTTGCAGGAGCTGATCCAGTTTAGCTGACCTACAGCAGCAGCACTTATCTTCAACGGCCCTGCTATGTCTAATGTTCCTAGTAGCAAACTAGACAACCATACCTGTGGGCGAGGATCCCCTACCCAGAAGTAACTGAGAAACCCAATGACATTAAGATGGAAGAAATGTTAAGCTTTGCTCCGATAACGGCAGATAACTGAAGATCCCTTAAAATGGCCTGTATGCACATCCCCTCAAAACTGTACAGCCTAGTGCATGAAATTCTCTCTCTGGGAACATGCTGCATACAAGGAAACAACACTCAAGTAGAAAACACTTTCTCAGTAATGAAGACCCATGAGTTTTCAATACAGGCTGACAAGTGACTTACCTCAGGGAGAGGGCAGCAGAACTGATGAACTGTGTGCATAACATCCAAGAGCATATTGTGTCCAATAACAAGCTTTCCCTAAAGAAAGTCAAAGTTAGGAAAAAGACTGTCAGGTACCAAATTGTACTAGTGGGGTTTGAGAGTGAAGATCCATGAGGATTTTCTACTAAAATTACTTTACCACATTAAAAAATATTATAAATATATGCAAATGAGCCAATTAGGGTAGGTTTCATTCTTTTTCAATTTTGGAGGTATTAAATATAGAATGCAAAATAAAAGATCCAAATGATTTTGATTTAATTATCTTTTTCTCTGATTTTTAATCTTGCCACTGACAAGAACCAGGAGTAGTAAATTTTGATTGAAGAGCTCAAGTTAAAAAGGTAAAATCTGAAAATGCTAAGTCTCCAGCACTATCAAATAATTTGTGAACAAACTCCAAATATCCAATTAGGGTTGCATTCATAACAATGCTAAAAGATAAAAATAACTCTCTAATTATACTAAACAGAATGAATTTTAATTTCCTTTATAATCTATGTCAAAATTCATGGGGCATGTTCTTAAATACCATTTCCAATAAAATCATTGCTTTTCAACCAACTGAAGTACAATATGTGTGCAATAAATTCACTCCATTTTGATAAAAAAATTAAACTACCAAAATGAAACATCAACTTCAATTCAGCTTGCCAGGTGGCACCATTTTTAACATAAACCATCAGGTCACTGTACTAGAGCTTTTTACTATGACCCAGTGGACCTTCAGAGCAACAGTCCTTGACTCACAGGGCTAAACATAATCCTTTGAAATAAGTAATTTTATATAAAACTTCCCAAATCTAACACACAAACTGTCCTTTTGGCTCAGTGTTTGTGTTCATTCTGAATACCTGTTCAACGCTAAAAGATCAAGTACTGATTGATACTATAGAAAAAATGTGAAGGAAACCCAAAATGGAATACAAAGATGAATAGAACCTAACTATATTATAAATAAATACCATAAGCACAATAAAAAAAGCTGGTACGAAAACAGTATTGTGACTACACGCTGTCAAGCTAAAGACAAAAAGACCTTCACATGAGTGCTGTAGCCTAGTCAGTGAACATGCTTCTCACAAAGTATGGGTAGTAATTCTGAAACATTTTATATGTATACCAGATTTAAACAAACATATATAATGCAGATAAGAGCTGGATTTCCCACTGTCGACAAATAAGAAAAGAAATGTAGAGTAAAAATGAACCCTGTGGTATTAGATTGGAACCTGAAGTATCAGTACAAAGGCATGGTTTTATATGTATGACATGTATCATTCTTAGCTCTATCCAGTGAGGGGTCCTAGAAGTAGTAAAACCACTGTAGTAACCTAGTGATAGGTCCTGCTTTCTAAACACTCTTGTCCAATAAAAGGAACCAGGGCTCCTCAGAGAAGTCACTGATTCAGAGCTGAGGCAGGGAAAACACAAAATGAGTCTGGAACATCTTGTGATACTAGAAAGTAATTAAGCGCTCAAAAAAGGATACGGACTTCCAGCAAGATGGAGGCATAGGTGGATGCACCATACCTCCATGCACAACCAAGATTGGAACAACAACAATTTAGAGGCAGAATAACACCCAGAACTGACAGAAAATTTATCTGAATGGAAGTCGGACAGCCAAGAAGTTGAAATAGACCCGTTTATCCAGACCAGTAGGAGGGACAGAGAGGAGCAGCCGGGCGCTGGGTCGTGGCACAGAGAACAGGGAGAATTGGGCGCATAAGGCAACCGGGCGTGCGTAAGGCATCTGGGGCGCACAAGATCGCAGTGGGTGGACCCTGAGTACGCAAGCGGCAGCTGGCAGACCCAGTGAAGCGGCGACTGTGGAGCAGGGCACAGGGCACAACCAAAGATCCCAGGGAAGGGACTGAGGTCCCATGGAGAACGGAGCTACCGCCATTGTTCCCTCTCGACCCGGCCCTCACAATACAACGTCACAATCTAGCGACTGGGGTGCCCAGCCCTGGTGAACACCTAAGGCTCCACCCCTTACCGTAACAGGAGTGACTAGACCAAAAAAAAAAAAGAGAGAGACAGACAGACAGATGGCTCAAAGAGAAGCACAAATCAGTGTCCCAGAACTCATCCTTTTGAACGACCAAGAGATAGCTAACCTATCAGATGCACAGTTCAAAACACTGGTGACCAGGAAGCTCACAGAATTGGTTGATTTTGGTTGCAAATTAGATGAAAAAATGCAGGTTACCTTGAAAGAAATGAAGGAAAATGCCCAGGGAACCAACAGTGATGGGAAGGAAACTCGAACTCAAAACAATAGAGTGGACCAGAAGGAAGGAAGAAACAACCGGACAGGAAAGAATGGAGAAATAAGAATTCAAAAAAACAAGAAGAAGCTTAGGAACCTCCAGGACATCTTTAAACATTCCAACATCCGAATTATAGGGGTACCAGAAGGGGAAGAGGTAGAGCAACAGATTGAAAACTTATTTGAACAAATAATAAAGGAGAACTTCCCTATTCTGGCAAAGGAAATAGACTTCCAGGAAGTCCAAGAAGTTCAGAGAGCCCCAAAGAAGTTGGACTCAAGAAGAAACACACCAAGGCACATCATAATTCCATTAGCCAAGGTAAAAATGAAGGAGAGAATCCTAGAAGCAGCAAGAGATAAGGGGACAGTAACCTACAAAGGAGTTCCCATCAGACTGTCAGCTGATTTCTCAAAAGAGACCTTACAGGTAAGAAGGGGCTGGAAAGAAGTATTCCAAGTCATGAAAGGCAAGGACCTATATCCCAGATTACTCTATCCAGCAAAGCTTTCATTTAGATGGAAGGGCAGATAAAGTGCTTCTCAGATAAGGTCAAGTTAAAGGAGTTCATCATCACCAAGCCCTTATTTTATGAAATGTTAAAGGGACTTATCTAAGAAAAGAAGATAAAGAAAAAAACATGTATAGTAAAAGGACAGCAAACTCACAATTATTAACAACCACACCTAAAGCAAAACCAAAAGAAACTAAGCAAACAACTAGAGCAGGAATAGAACCACAGAAATGGAGATTACATGGAGGGTTAGCAACAGGGGAGTGGGAGGAGGAGAGAGGGGGAAAAGGTACAGAGAATAAGTAGCATAGATTGTAGGTAGGAAATAGACAGGGGGAGGGTAAGAATAGTATGAGAAATGTAGAAGCTGAAGAACTTGTAAGTATGACACATGGACATGAACTAAAGGGGGGAAGTGGGTGGGAGAGGGTGTACAGGATGGAGGGGAGTGAAGGGGGGAAGGGGACAACTGTAATAGCATAATCAATAAAATATATTTTTTAAAAAAAAGGATATGGGTTCTTCAAAGGACACAGGAGCCAACCTGACGAAGCTCTAATAGTCGAAGGTGGCACAAGTAGAGCAACAAAATAAACAATAAAATACCATGTTATAATCTATATAAATGTATTTCCCTGAGTCCATACTCATAAACACTTTTTTAAATGATTAAAAAAACAGGGGAGGATAGCTCTTTCTTATAAAAGAATTCCAAGAACTAATGCAGAAAGAGGAAAATACAAACTTGCCATTACAACATCAGAGTAATAATGGCTGCAGGTAAGATCCACTGATAGATGCTGTACTAGTGGACAAAAGTTTGAGAAAAAAGAGATTTTCATAGTCTTAAGTATCTACACCAAGATATTTATTAACCACAAAGACAAAAGTAGTAACTTTACAGTATACTAATCTAGCAGAAAGCACCCTATGCAAGTGATCAAGGTCAACATTATGAACCATGATTTCTGTGGTATTCTTGCATAAATTGTATTTCCTCAGTCCTATCACGAGAAAAGAGCAGACAAATCCAAACTGAGGGACATCTGACAAAATGCAGTCAATAGTGTTTTAAAATATCAAGGTTATAAAAGACAAAGAAAGACTGTTACTAACTGCAAAAGACTAAGAAGAAATAATACATAAATGTAATGTGGGATCCTAGATAAAACTGTGAACAGAAAAAGTACTTAGTGGAAAAACTGATGAAATTCAAATAAAATCTACAGTTCAGTTCATAATATTATGCCAGTGTTACTTTCCTGGTTCTGATAACTGTATGATTATATAAGTTGTTGACATTGGGGGTAGCTAGGTAAGAAATATATGGAAACTACTATTTTTGCAACTTGGCTGTGAGTAAAAAATTAGCAAAAATAAAGTTTTTAAAACTATAAAAAACACAGATTTACTACTACAAATGACAAGAAAAGAATTTGGTGTGACATAAATATTTAAGAGTAATTACTGCTTGTAAGCTTTATAAAGCATAAATTAAAATGTTAGCATTTTTAAGGTATGTACTTAAATTTTAAATGTCTGCATCACTAATAAATTGGGTTTGCATAATACAGTTTGTGATATAAACTACAAAAGGTCAGCAATGTGTTATCAATTATTCTGTATTAGACAAAAAAGAGGAAAACAAGCACAGCAAGCTAAAGTATCTGAATTTATACAAGGTAAGCACATGTCCCAGCTAACTAAACCGTCATGATAGCTACAGGACAGCTCAAAGCCAAATGATGTCCCACATCTCTGTATTTAGGGTTCACCTCAGTCAAGCCAACTATCTGAAGTGTTTTGGCTACTGTGTATAATCTAAGCAAACATGACCAGAAACTCTGCTTTTCTAGATACCTGTGATCTTAGAGACTTGTGAAGAGACTCACATTTTTGTTTCTCTCCAGGCTCATCCAATTCACTATTCCATTTAAATTATCTTCCTTACTTTAGAGAAGGAGCTCCTAGTGAGCCAGCCTTCTTCTTTTACAAGGCTGGGTAACTTGTCTTTATTCCCAGTTGAGGACAGTGATATGCCTGTTTTGACAAGTCCACACCTGGTGGTGACAAGGCCACAGAACTCTCAGAGGGTGTCTACAGCCTTAAAGCTTCCCTGATACAAAGCTCAGCATCTAAGAGACAAAGCAAGTCCTTCTCTAGGAAAACAATTTCTTCAAGGCCAACTACTCAAGGAAAGAAATGCAATCTGGCATCCAAGTAAGTAAACTGACTTGGACGTGTAATTCACAAAACCACCAGCACCATGACCCAATGTATCTACACAAGACGTGCATGCCTCTTTTCCAAAAAGACTTAGAAAACAAGAAAAAATGTCACCATATATATCACAGAACCCTCTAGCACATTTACACAGTGGTAAACATGTTTTTAAAATACCAAATATTAATAAAGCTACCAGATATGAGAGTCTATTACAGTTATGTAGAAGAATGCAACACAGGCAACTAACTACTTTTATCCTCTAGATTCTTCCTTTTATTTTTTAAGATTTTATTTATTTAATTTTAGAGAGGGGAAGGGAGGAAGAAAGAGAGAGAAACATCGATGGGTGAGAGATATCCATTGCCTCTTGCATGCCCCCAACTGGGGACCTGGCCCACAACCCAGGCATGTGCCCTGACTGGGAATCGAACAAGAGAACTTTCAGTTTGCAGTCTGGCACTCAATTCACTGAGCCACACCATTAGCCAGGACCTCTAGATTCTTCTAATTAAGGAAAAAAACACCTTCAAATACCTGATTGTTTCTCCCCATATTCCTTATACTTTCTTATCCTACTTATTGGCTTTGAAAATAATAAATATTAGTTTCATGTAGCTGAATAAGGACCTCATAGTATAATAATCCTATGAATTTTACAGGAACAGTTTTCTGAAAAAAATGGCTTGGATAAAAAAATGGTAACAGCAATTATGATATCATGCCAAGCATATCGTAACAATAATCTACCTTTATGAAGTTCTAACTTCTTCCTCCATACCAGATAAATATTCTAAATGTAACCAAATGATTAATTTGCAATGATAAATAGGCACTTCACCTTAATATTATGTTCTGGAATATAGTTGAAAACAAAAAATCTGGTTTACTTACCGAATTAGCAATGGCATGAATGACTCTAGAAAATCCCACAGCATCATTCAGTTCTTCCTAGTTTAAAAAAGCAAACCAAAACAATTATTCATGTACATATATTCCTGTATTTGAATGTGTTAAAACCTAGTAAAAAAATAAAGTACTGAAACTTTATAGTGAGCTTTAGTTTCACATGCTTTGTACCTATCATCCCAAACAACTACATCTGAAATTATTTATGATATTCCTTTTTTCTATTTTAAAAAGTGGAATGAGCAAGTGGCAAATTATTCATTAGTTACCAAAATTACAGTACTGTCACTTCACATCACTTGAAATTTCAGTCTATCAAGCCATCTTAAAAACTCCCTTTTAAAAGCTGCCATCTGCTGGCCAAATTCAGTGCTGCATTAAATTCTTAGGAAACCCAACCAGCAGTTAATGGATCAAAAACAGCATTAACTCTTGATATTTTTCTTGTCAAAAACATTTTTATAAAATTTCTTAAAGATTTTATTTTTATTTATTTTTAGGGAGGGAAGGGGGGAGAGAGAGGGAGAGGGGGGGGGAGAGAGAGAGAGAGAAACATCAATGTGCGGTTGCTGGGGGTTATGGCCTACAACCCAGGAATGTACCCTGGCTGGGAATTGAACCTGGGACACTTTGGTTCCCAGCCCACGCTCAATCCACTGAGCTACGCCAGCCAGGGCCATTTTTATAAAATTTTTATAGTACAGCACTCTGAGACTCATCCCCACTTAGTTTCTTCTTTCCTACTTCCTAACGGTGTTCAAATAGATTCGATTTCTCTCCTATATTGAAACCGCTTCTTTAACTTGAAGCTCCATGCAACTACTTACTGTCCCTTCTCCTTGTCTCTTAGCAGCTAAATTACTTAAAAGACTTCTCTCCACTAACTAGCTCCAGTTTAACTCCCAGGTACTTGCAGGCTTCTGCCCTATGGTGGCACCCTCACTGAAACTGCTCACCTCTTTAAACTACTCCCAGGGTAACTATTATTAGCAAGGACGTGGAAACATCCGAACACATGTGACTTGCTGGTGGGAACAATAAAGTGCTACAGTTGCTATGGAAAACAGTATGGAGGTTCCTCAGAAAATTAAAAACACAATTTCAATTTGATCCAGCAATTCTACTTCTGGGTATATTCCCAAAAAAACTAAAAGCAATGACCCAAAGAGATACTCACACATCTATGTTTTTAGTAGCATTATTCACAAGAACAAAAAGGTTGAAGTGACCCAAGTGTCCACTGACAGATGAATGGATAAAGAAAATGTGATATACCCATACAATGGGATATTATTTCACCTTAAAAAGGAAGGAAATTCTGACACACACTATAATATGGATGAACCACGAGGACTTGATGCTAAGCGAAATAAGGCAGTAACAAGAAACCAAATACTGCATGATTCCACTTACACAAGGTACTGTCAAATTCAGAGAAAGAAAGTAGAAGAGCGATCACCTGTGGCTAGTGGCAGGGGGCAGTGGGGAGTTGTTTAATGGCTACAGTTTCAGTTCTGCAGGATGAAAAAGTTCTGGAGATGGATGGTGTTGATGGTTGCATAACAATCTGTACTTAACACTTAGGAAACTGTACACTCAAAAACAGTTAAAATGGTAAATTTTGTGTTATGTGCACTTTATAAATTTATAAAATTTGTATCTTAAAATTTGTATCTTATGTGCATCTTAAAATTTTGAAGAATATTTAAAAAAAGAAAACTCCTAAAACTAAACCCAATGGCCACATTTCAGCCACTACCCTTTCTCTAGAGCATTGGACACTGCTGACAACCCCTTCCTCACTCTCTTCCCTTGGCTACCGTGTCACAATAATCTCCTGACACATTTTTCCACTTCTGCCTATCATTTAATTGCTGGTGGTCTTCAGAACCCTACACTCAGTCCTCTTCTCATTCCTCATGCACACTGTAGGTGTTCTAATCCAGTCCTGATCTCCCTGTCAAGACAACCAAGTCTAGCCCTCACCTCTCCCTTATGCTCCAGAATGACAACTCCACCTACAAGACACCTACTGTTAGATGTCCCAAAGACATCTAAAACTTCGTTGGATCAGATACGCTGTAGAGGGAAAGCTCCACCATGGTGCCCTGGTGACCCTGCACACATCCAAATAGGCCGCACAGGCAAAGGCTTGAGCTGCAGTTCACCTGCATTTTGATGACACACCCCAGGAGAGGATGGGAGGCAGAGGCTTGTAAAAAGCTGCCAATATGCCATCTCCCAACCACCTCCCTCTCTCTCCCCCTGGGAGGCTGTCATGAGAAAGTTTGTCACTGCCTCCCAGGTTTTGATGACACATGGGGCTTTCTGCCTCACCCTCCCACCCTCGTCAGAAGAGAGCTACAGCATATAAAAGTGTTTAGCGGCAGTCTAGAATTGGCTCCTCAATAACAAGGTATCCACAACTCACGACACAGTCATCTGGCTCCTTTTCTTTTAGTGTTGTCTGTTTGGTGTGTGAAAACAAGAACCTCGTGCAGCTGGCACCTTTGGCTGATCTTCCTTCTCTATGTAACAAACTGTCTAAATCTAACAATGGCTTGTTGTGTCTTTACTGTTAGATGTCCCTAAGATGTTTACCATTTTAACTGTTTTTGAGTGTACAGTTTCCTAAGGTCTGAATCAGTCAGATGCGGCCCTGCCTTAATATATCTGTGAGCTGGACATCCACCCATACGCAAACCCTACTCCACTTGGCCCCTCACCCCCAACCAAAATCACTCCATATAAGTGAACTGACATCAGTCTACCTAGTTGCTCAAATTTCAGGCTTGAGAATTTTCCTTCTTCTCTCCTCCTCTTTTGCCACCCACATCCAGGCACTAATTACAATGATTCTACCTTCTAAGTATCTCCATATTTCACCTGGACTGCTACTAACTGTTCTATTCCAGGTCACTGATATTTCTTAGCTATGTTACTCCACAGCTTAATTGGTCTTCCTAGCTCCAGTCTTACTCAAATCCATTCTCCAGATAGCAACCAAGAGGATATGCCAACAAGTCCATGTCACCCTAATCTGCCAAGTTTTTAGCGCAAAACAGTCACAACACCAGGGACATCTCCCCCATTGGCTAAGATGGCAGCAGGGGGATGGCATCAGGGGGGAGTACCTCAGTGTTCTCACACTGAGCGCACAGAAAGCCTGAGCTCGCAAAAAGCTAACAAAACAATCAGATTTTTGAAATGCCCTCCCCCTACCCTCCTATACCTGATTGGAGGTTAGACCAGGAAAGGCAGGCACATGTAAGTCAAAATGGCACAGGGGGAGGTGCTTGACCCTCAGTCTAGCCAAGAGAGAAAAAGAGATGGTTGGAACACAGACCTACCCAAAGCACACAAAAGTTTGCGAAGTTGACTGGTCACTTTGAGAAAGCAACTGGTCTGACCCAAGCTAATACATTCCCAGGGGAACAAAGCAGCTCTCTCTTGCCAACTCGATGATGCTCTCAACTGAGTATTCATCACTGTGCTCTCAGAACACGTGACCATGTGGCCCTCACAACATTTTCCACACGCAGGCTCCACGAGGGAGCCTGAAATGGACAACAGCAGGGAACAAGCTAAGCCACATGGATAAGGACTAAAACCACTTTGCAGCCACCTACAGATTCCAAAGACTATACTTTTAAATGGAGCAGGGAAATTGGCAATGAGAACCTGAGCTGACTGAGGCCTATTAGCAGGGGCTTGCCAGAAATGGACAGCCAGATTCCTTATGACTACCCAGTGGTTTTCCTGCCTGTGAGACTTCCCCAACATGGGTTCCTTCTCATGAGGTAGGAACCATCTGCACTCTTAAATACTGGATTTTTCCCCATGAGCATGGGATGATACATGAAACGCAGCATAGCAGGGTTAGAGAGCTCAGCAGAGAATTAATCTTATGCTTTGTTATAGCCAAGGGACTCAGAAGTTGGATTCTGAGCCACTGGAGCCTTTGGAAACTTCTTATGGAATCCTTCTGCCAGAGTCCACTCATATCACAGAATTATGGAAATTGAGAGCTCCAGTTTCCATTCTGCCAAGAGGGTATACCACCCAGACTACAATGAGTTGACCCAGTTTCTGTCCCGAATCATCACACTGAAGAAGCCCCCTGGAGCTCAGTGAGGATTTAACATCTAAGGAGGAAAGACTACCCAGCTAGGCATCTTCACCTCCAAGATGATCTCTGTCTCTTACACACTACAGGAAGGGGGCGAAGTCCTAGCTATAAATGATGTGGATTTATAAGATATCGAGCATAATGAGGCTGTTAAGATCCTGAAGACAGCCCGTGAAATCAGCATACATGTCTGCTTCTTTCCCTATAATTACCATCGCCCAAAAGAGAGGACTGAGAGTAGGAACCCACGGCCCTCCACATGGAATCTTCTAGGACAAGCTGGCCAGGACTTGGGGAAGCCACATACACTCTTATACAGTCTCATACACTTTGGAGACTCCAGGGGGACACTGTTTTTCTTCCTCTACCTCCTAGTATCTTCTCTAAAAAATAAAACACAATGCTTAAAAAAAATAAATAAAATAAAATGCAACAGGAACTTTGGACACTGATTTTATTTTGGCCTTGCTGAGGATGGTTGGACTTTTTCCATAATAGAAAGAGCAGAGAATCCTGGAGATGGGAGTCGGCCATCCTCCCAGACTGCAGCACCAGAATAAAACCTCTCTCCTTCTGCACCAGCACCGGCCTCTCAAGTTTGGTTTTTGTGGCAATAGGCAGCTGAATCTCCGTTTTTGTTTGGTTACAAAATCATATTTTCTAAACTTAAGAACATTAGTAATTTGCTTGAAGTCAGACATAACAATATTAGTTAACAGGCAATGAAGATCAGTGGCACATAATCTGACTGATAATCAAGGATACTCTTTTCAAGACTGCTTCATATATGGGAAGATTGGTCAACCATGTCAGACTTACTTTGTTATCTATGATTAAATACTTAACCTTACAATCCCCCTGGTTCTACTATAGATTTTCCTACCAATTCAATTTTACTATGGCAGAAAACTAATCACTAAATTGAATCCTACATCCGATATACAAATACAGAGAAAGGTACTATATTACAATTTCAAATACAGAAAAAGGTACTATGTTGCCATTTCTCACCCAAAGGAAATGAACATAACTCAATTACCTGTTCTTTAGCATGTTTCTGCTGCTCTCTTCTTTTGCGTTCTTCTTCATCTACTTTACTGACAACTATGTATCGCTCTTTCTGAAAGACAGAAAGCCAACATAAAACTTTCTGGAAAAAACTTGACCCCCAAAATTAAGAATTCTGCTACCATTAGAAGTTATTGTTTTTATCACCTCACAGTCTTTCATGGGCTAAACACAATGAAAAGATTCTGAAAAGCCACCAAAAGTTGAACTGATGCATTACAAACCGAAATTCTGCCTCTGTGTTTCCATGACACATTCCCATGGTTTATTAATCCAACCCAACAGATGTCAGTTAACAGTATCAACAGACTGTGAGAATAAGACACTTTCCCAGTGAACACAATTACACTGCATCTGAATATGAGTTTCTAAATAGATGGCTTTAAAATAAATTTCTACATCTTACTTCATTAATGTAACAAAAAAAAAATCCTGGATTTTCTGGTATTTGTCAGATAATTAGTGCCTTCTTCCTCATATACCACATTTTTTATCAATTAAACCATAAAACCTATGTTAAAGTTTGAGATTTCTCTTCTAGCAAGATTGTTTTTAATTTATTTTATCTCATATAGTTTGACATCTAAAGCAACAATTAAATTCTAAATCCTAAAATTTTGCACAAGGAACCCACCATCAGCCCACCATTATCCATCATGTTCTATCAGTGCACCTTGGGAATGTGTGACAATACCAGTACAGACACTTACGCCCTAAGTTCTTTTTTTCAAAGATGTATTTTTTAAAGATTTATGTATTTATTTTTGGAGGAGAATGGAAGGGAAAAGAGAGGGAGAGAAACATCGATGTGCAAGACATATATCAGAAGGTTGCCTCTCACATGCCAACTGGGTATTGGGGACCTCGCCTGCGACCCAGGCATGTGCCGTGACTGGGAAATGAACTGGCCAGCCAGGATATGCCCTAAATTCTAACATTTAATTTTGTTTGCTCACATAATGGAAGCCATTTTTTCATGCATATCATCACAACTTTCTGCTGTAGTTAGAACATGTGCTAACATTCGCATGCTTTCAGGTTTACAAAGCCTGTTTACTTTCATTTACCTACTGGATGACCATAAAAAAGCTACGAGATCAGTACAGATCATCACTATCATGTGCACCCCCAATGCACAAATGAGGAAAATGAGGCTTAGAGAGGTTAAATGACTTGCCCAAGGTCACCCAGCTCATAAACAGCAGGGCCAAGAAGTGAACTCTGACTTTCAGCATATCAATGAATCGTTGCATGTGTTTGTTAGCCCTGGATAACACTTGAGGTTACCTTTTCAGTTTCTAAAGTCTCAACGTGAATGCCTTTGGGATACCTAAAGAAAAGGAAGAAAACATGACATCAGTAGATGAGACAATGACAACTAAAACCTTAAGTATTTTAAGAGCAACTATAAAGCTTTAATTTTATTAAATGGATTGTCTTATTAAGTATGAAATAAGTATTATTATGATGAAAACTTTACAGTAAGCATATTCCACAATATTTCAGCTGCTAAATCATTCCCTATCTTTGCTGTTAAACACACAGGTATGTGTCTGATTTCAAAATAATTTATTTTAGGACTTAGGCATTTTCTGATATGTCTGGCATCACATTATACAGACAGCTTATTACCATGCAGTCAAATCTTCCTTCCAAATATGTTTACTTCCTAACTGATTATAAAGGTTTTAATATTATGTGGGCTCACACATAGGAGATTTGAAATGGATAACTCTGCAGTTTGGCATGGTAGTTTGCATCAGCTAAGAAGAGTGATCTGGAATCCACATGGAGTAAGTTCCAAGGATAATATAAAAAAGAAGAAAGGAGCTGGTCAAAGGACAATGGCCCTTTTCCTGTTATGTTCAAAGTAAATTTCCAGTAAACATGTCATTGACAGACTCTAATCCAAGAACAAGAATCCCAAACAAAGTCAAATGCAAACATCAAATTGTCTAATACTGATGTGCAACTCTGGGGTTAGAGATCCACTTGAAAACAGAATGAAACCAATAGAAACAAAATTTTAGATATTTTAGGGGACTCACAGATCTCCTAAAACCCATTCTTCTTCTAAATCATGGTCTAACCCCAGATTAGACAAAGAATTCAGCTATTTCCTAGGTCTTAAAACCAAATCTTTATTGTATACTTTCAAAAGGCAAAAACAATACACACCCAGAACTTAACAAAGCCAAAGTGACAATTAAAAGAAAGATTAAAGGCTTTAGAGCCTCTATTAAAAAGCAATAACAAACAAAATAAGTGGGTATTCAACTTAAGAAAATATGGGGAAATAAGGCACGGCACAACAACATGGGATGGTCACCATGACTGGTGTAGCTCAGTGGGTTAGATGTCATCCCACAAACTGAAAGGTCATCAGTTCAATTCCCAGTCAGGGCACATGCCTGGGCTGAGGGCCAGGTCCCCAGCTGGGAGCATGCAAGAGACAACCAATCAATGTTTCTGTCACATATGAGTGTTCCTCTCCCTCTCTTTCTCCCTTCCCCTCTCTCTAAAAATTAATCTTAAAAAAAAAAAAAGAATGTGGAATGTCAGATCACCAAACACTGTAGAATTCCATTAAAAAAAAGGGAACTAAGATACTATCTTTAGTTTTTAAGTCCTGGGTTTCTCACAGAGCTCTTGCATATAATATAAACACTTACTTCCAGCTCAAAGTCTGATAAATTAGTTTTCTTTGGAACCTATAAAAACAAAAGAAAAGGCATTCATCTTGGCTCATTAAAAGAAAATCCTAACTGATCAAGCACCGGGAGGGAAAGACATTTAGTTTTTAAAACAGATTTCAATAAAAGTGACAGATAATATGTAAACAAAACTGGGCAGGATGTTTATAGTGTGAGGATTCCTCACCACTTGTCTTCATCAAAAAGTTCTTTCTTCTTATTATACTACCTTTATAGAGGGGGTCAAGTTCCCATCTAACCAACGTATTACTTCCTGTGGCTTATAAGGAGTGTTTAAGGCATACAGATATACTAAAACACTTTTGTGAAGGTAGTCACAAAGTAAAAAGAAAGTAAGATGCTTTTTACCACAGAGAAAAATTAAAAGGATAGAAGCAGCCTGAGAGTAAATGCTCTTCTGAAGTGTTTATGCATTAAGTTCTCCTTGAGGCTAAAATAATTACGCCACTCTCGAGCATAAACTTGAAACCAAAGTTGCACAACAGTTGTCTCCCCTCCAGAATGGGACAAAGCATTCATTCAGTGTCTCAATACACCATCATCTCCACTGTATTAATGTTAAAGTTAGTGCTTAAATCTTGGGAGCACGTCTGTAATAAAAAGGCTATTTATGAAGGTGTTTTTAAAAGATCAAATTAGCACATGCCAGATATTATCTACCTTTCCCCAAAAAGAAGATGTGAAAAGATTCAGGGCAACTAACCCTGTACATGGCTCTAAATCCAAGTTCTTATTTTCTTCACTTTGTAATAAATCTTCTATTTTCTCTCTGAGGAATTGAAATAAAAACGTAACTGTCAATACCTTTAAGGAACAAAGTCATCGACCAACAAAACTATCATGCTCAAAAGCTATCTAAACATAAGAACATATTCCATGGCTGGGTAACTTGGTTAGAGCATCATCCTGATATGCCAAGGTTGTGGCTTCAATCCCACAACCACATATAAGAATCAACCAATGAATGCATTAGTAAGAACAACGAATCGATATTCTCTCTCTAAAATCAATTTTAAAAAAGAATATGACAATGTAATTTTAACAAATCATATAACTTTTTACTGTAATAAGGCTTAAAGAAAAATAATTTATTTTGGCATTTTTTAATTGTTATTAAATAGTAACAACTGCTCAAGGCTACATCAATACAAGTAATTTAAATATTTACTTTTCTAGTAAAGCAGTTATACTGATAAGTAAACTCTAAACATTTCTTTGATGGCACATTGGCTTGTCAGAAACTTCACTGAGAAAAAGACATGGCCATGTTGCAAGTACTTGGATGGACCTGATTCATTCCTCCACCTTCAGAGGAACTAGACAGTGGCTACCAGGCCCTTAGAAGGTCTTTCCAGTGACATGCAACCAGTCTTAGTACACAGAATCCTATTTACAATGTGCTATTGTCACACGAATACAGATGTGCCGCAATTAAACCCTCCAATCACATCACACCTGAGTGTACCGTGTACGTGCAGCACAGGTTCAAGACACAGATGTCAGCCAGACTCGCCCCAATACACATACATGACACACATTGGGTTCCAGTTTAGAACTTACACCACTTGGTCAATAAATTTTTTCTGATCCTCAGGAATCGTCACAGGACATTTTGATGTGTTAGGAGACACATATGATAGAGCTCCTGCACCGTTGGACTGTAAACGTTTTTCATCATACTGCTCTCTTAACTGTCTTTCTTCTTCCTGATTTAAATATGGAATTCCTAAACACAGTTTTTAAAAGAATGGATTAGTAGAAATACCTGTATAGCATAAAAATTGTTTAACAAACCAAAGAGCCTAAAATACTCAGGAAAGGCTTACCATATTTAAATATACCTCAAAAAAATCAACAGAAAACACAAGTAATTTTGAAATATGTTTGTCTATTCATGCACTCCATTCATTCATTCTACTTTCAACAAATTTTTATTTGGCACTTATGCTGTTCCAGGAACTGTATCAGACTCTGGGGGATCTAACAGTGAGCAAAGCAGATGTACCCTGCTCTGAAGTAAAGAGAATCACGTAGCCACGATGATCACACAAAGCCACTGTGAATGAAGATCCAAAAGCTAAGAACGAATCAGACAGGCAAAAAACTGGGGGAAGAGTATTTCTAGCAGGAGAGTAAGATAAACGTGCTGAGAATGGAAATGGCTTGGACTTTTCCAAAAACAGTAAGGAAGCTGGTGTGGCCAGAACACAATGAACAGGGAGATGGCCAGGTTGGAGACAGGATGGAACAAGATTACACAGGCCCTTATAGGCCACAGTAAAAATTTATTATATCCTAAGAGCAATGGAATGCAATTAGAGAATTTTAAGCAAGATAATTACATTATCTGCTTCAGGTTTTTAAAAGGACACTTTGACTCCTGTGAGAATTTAAGTAGGAAAGTCACAGCTACAAGCTAGTGTCCACTGTAATCATCCAGGCAGAAGATGATGGCCTAAATCAGAGGTCAGTAAACTTTTTCTTAAAGTGACAAATAGTAAATGTCTTAGGCTTGTGAGATATAAACCTAAAGTATAGGCATGGGGGTCTCTGTTGCAACTACTTAGCTCTGCTGTTGTGGCATAAAAGGAGTAATACAGTGATACACAATGAGTAGATGAGTGAGCATGACTATGTCCCAGTAAAACTTTATTTACAAAACAGAAAGTAGGCCATAGTTTGTACCCTGGCTTAACTATAAAGATAGGGAGAATGGTTTTTAGAGATAAGAGAGACAGAAACTATTGATATACTATAGGTAGAGAATAAAGGGAAAAGCAAAATAAAAAATGATGCTATTAAGTTTAAGCAATTGAAAAGATGATAGGGCCACTTAACAAGATAGGGAAAAATAGGCAAAGAATAGGTTTGGGGCTCCAAGGATGAATATCAAAAGCTACCTGCTGAATATATGAAATCATCTAAGGGTATACATAAATTAAAAACTTATATAAGTCTACAGCACAGGAGAAAAGAGTTGAGAAATTTGGGCGACATCAGAATATGTGTGGTCTTAAAAGCCATAGGACAATAGTGAACTCTGTAGAAACGATGATGGAATTAGGGCCGAGGGGCTGGTCCAGGCCACTAAGAAGAGACCAAGAGGCAGGGGCTGTACTTGCCAACCATCATGCTGAGATGTAGGCATTATTTCTGCTACTATAACAAAATTTATTAAAAACCATGATATGGATTCCAGTCAAGATGGCAGCATAGGTAAACATGGCTTGCCTCTTCCCACAACTACATCAAAATTAAAACTAAAATATAGAACAAGCATTACTCAGAACCATCAGAAATTGAGTTGAGTTGATGTCTGACAACTATAGAATTAAAGAAACCATATCCATACAGACTGTAGGACGGGCAGAGACACCAAATGGGCTGTCCCACATCCATGCGTGGTGGATAAAAATTCAGGAGGAATATCTCAGGAGTGAGGAGTCCCAGCCCATACCACACCCCCCCGCCCAGGGTTCCAGTGCAAGGAAGATAAGTTCCCATATCTTCCGGCTACAAAAATCAGCAAGGATTGAGTGGGGGGAAGGAACTTCTGGAGTCCCAAGCAGTTCTTAAAGAATCCACACATGGACCTACTCAGACTTACTTCCTCTGAGCTTCAGCACAGGAGTAACAGCTTGAAAGGCACCAGTGGCATACAGGGAGAAAATGAAGTGTCTGTCTGGCATCAAGGCAAGAACTGGGGGACAACTTTCTTCCAGACACAAAGGCCGGCAGAGGTCCCTCTCCCAACAGAGCCACAGAGCTGACAGGCTGGTGCCATATCTGAGACTCCATCAGCCTGGCTAACACCATTTGCCCTGCCCTGGAGATCCCCTGAGACTCTTGGACACTCAACTTATAATCCCACCCAAGTTGCTTTTCCATATGAATGGTTGGTCTTGGCTCTCATGCTTCACAACTTCCTAAATCCTCTCAAACAAGCAATAGCTGGCCTCAATGAGCCCCCAGCCCCTGTACCTCTTGCTAGGTGGCCCCAGGTCCAGCACTAGCAGCAGTCCACTTAGATTCACAGCTTGGCCTGGCCTGGGAATCTCCAGGCCCAGCACAAGTGGCAGCCATTTCAGACTGCTTCATAGCTCAGGCAGGAAAACCCAGGCAGACAACAGGGGAGGGCTGACAGTGGCCTGCACCACTCAGGAAACCCCAGAGCCTATGCACCCAGTGGACAGCTACAGACCATGTCAGAACACCTCCACCCTACACCTGCACAGCTAACTCTGCAAAGGGCAGAGGTTGGTGGTAAGTGGTCACAGCCAGTCCTTGTAGCTGACTGGCCTGGGTAAATCTCTCCCACTGACCTGCCAACAGCAATCAAGGCTCAACTACAAGAGGAAGGTGTACTCAGCTCATACAAAGGGTGTACCTCGAGTACCCAGCTTGGGTGATAGGGGAGACTATGCCACTGAACCCTATAGGACACCTACTACATTAGGCCACACTACCAAGACAGGTAGTCAGAGCAGCTCTACCTAATACAAAGAAACAAACACAGGGAGACTGCCAAAATGAGGAAACAAAGAAACACAGCCCAAATGAAAGAACAGATCAAAACTTCAGAAAAAGAATTTTAAAAAGGGAGATAAGCAATCTATCAGATGCAGAGTCCAAAACACTGGTTATAAGGATGCTCAAGGAACTTAGTGAGGACCTCAGCAGCATAAAGAAGATACAATCAGAAATGAAGGATTCACTAATTGAAATAAAGAACAATTTACAGGGAAGCAACAGTAGAGTGGATGCAGCCAAAAATCAAATGTTCTTTACTTCAATGATTTGGAACATAAGGAAGAAAAAAACAACCAATCAGAACAATGTGAAGAAAAAAAGAATCCAAAAAACAAGGACAGTGTAAGTCACCTCTAGGGCAGCTTCAAGCATTCCAACATTTGCATCATAGGGGTAACCAGAAGGAGAAGAGAAAGAATGAGAAATTGGAAATCTATTTGAAAAAAATAATGAAAGAAAACTTCCCTGATTTGGTGAAGGAAAGAGACATGTAAGTTTAGGAAGCACAGAAAGTCCCAAACAAGATGGTGCAAAGAGGCCCACTCCAAGACACATCATAATTAAAATGCCAAAGGTTAAAGATAAAGAGAGAATCTTAAAAGCCCCAAGAGAAAAACAGATTAGTTACCTTCAAGGGAATTCCTGTCAGTTGATTTCTTAAAAGAAACTTTGCAGGCTAGAAGGGATTGCCAAGAAATAGTCAAAGTCATGAAAGGCAAGGACCTACAGCCAAGATTGCTCTACCCAGCAAAGCTATCATTTAGAATCAAAGGACAGATAGAGTTTCCCAGGTAAGGTAAAACTAAAGGAATTCATCAACACCAAACCATTAGTATTTGAAATGTTAAAGGGACTTATTTAAGAAAAAGAAGATCAAAACTATAAATAATAAAATGGCAATAAATACATATCTATCAACAATTGAGTCTAAAAAACAAACCAAGCAAACCAGAAGAACAGAAACAGAATCATGGATATGGAGAGCGTTTTGATGGTTTCCAGATGGGTGGGAGTTGTGGGTGTATGGGTAGAGAGGTGAGGGGATTAAGAAGTACAAATAGGTAGTTACAGAATAGCCATGGGGACATACAGTACAGTATAGGAAATGGAGTAGCCAAAAAGCCTATATGCATGACCCATGGACATAAACAACAGTGTGAGGACTGCTTGAGGTAGTATTGGTGCTCGGGGTGGGGGGGTTAATAGGGAAAAACTGGGACAACTGTAATAGTATAATCAATAAAATACAGCAACAAAATTTAAAAAGTATGATGGAATTAGAAAAACACTTCTGTCACCAGATACTAATACTACTAAGATGGTTGCCTACATTCATTATGGAAGATTACCAACTTCAGTTCAAAGTTAGGGAAAATATAAACAGGAATGATCCAGTGAAGAAGGGAAAATAATTCAGGAGAGAGAAGGACAACCTGGAGGAGCCAATGCTTGACAAGGAGGCAGGGACTAGCCGCAGACAGGCACAGGGACTCCTCTACACGGTATGAACAGAGGTAAGAAGGCCAGGTCCAGACGTGGATCTGGTAGTAGGAACATGCATGCAGCAGCTCTTCTCTGCTTTTTTCTATTTTCATTGAGAGGCATGGTCATCAGGTGTGTGGGAAGTTTGGACAAAGATATAGTAAAAAAAAAAACACACAAACATTTTAAAGAGCTGGAAAGGAAATTTCTAACTCAGAAAAAGTATGATTTTTGAGCATGACTGATCATTTGAAGCTTGTGGTCATGAGTTTAAAGTAACAAATTAGCTCAGGTGTGGCACGTTTTCCAACAATATTCAGATGCTCAGAAACAAAGAAGGTGGAAGGTCAGATCTAACCAGTGTTAGGACTGTGCTAGGCAAGTGCAATAGCAGGAGAGAGGAGCAAGGGAAGGGAAGAAGGACATGGTGGACCACGTGGATAAAAAGAAAAGTCAAGACAGGAGAATAGAAGGATACACAGTGAAAAAGCAATGGAGGTTAACAGATTGCTGAAATGAGGTACTGGAGTAAGTGAATGAGAAGGACAGGAGGAAGTGCTCCCAAAGAGAAATGCTTGAAGTGGGTGTTAAGACCCACAATGTTACCAAGAAAGCAAATAGCTAAGGGAAGATAGAAGCAAGGACTGCTGACCATCTCGTCAAGAAACAGACCAGACAGAGCATTTGCTGGTCATCCCTGTGGATACAGAAGTCACCAACAATGAGGACAGAGGCAGAAGTGGAGAGAAAAACAATCAACCAAAGCCAAGGCTGTCATTTTGTTCAACATCATATCCATGAAATCCGCAAAGAGGGGTGGCAGAGCTAGGGGACAGTCCTTAGAATTGCAGCTCTGAAGAGGGAATTCAGGTGGTTTGAATGTGGTATGGGTAAACAAGGATACCTACCACTGTCTGGCTGGAGATATAAAAAGAGGGTGGGGGCGGGATCACCTGTGTTTGACAGGCTATAGGGAGAATGGTAACCAGGGGTCATCTGGTTCCCTTTTAAGAAAGGAAGTCACAGCCACTTCCGACAACATTACCAGGAGGAAAGGTCTGCCATTTACAGAGTGTGACTGGAAAGATCTGATAAGGAAAAGAAGTAAAGGTCTAAATCAGATTTAGAATGACAACAGCATGAATATAAGAGTCCTGGTCATAACAGATGGCCTGGGAGTCCTGATTCATCTGTGACTAAAATATTCCAAGGTCTAAGCCCTGCCTGGTGTAGCTCAGTGGATTGAGCACGGGCTGCGAACCAAAGTGTCGCAGGTTTGATTCCCAGCCAGGGCACATGTCTGGGTTGCAGGCCATGACCCCCAGCAACCGCACATTGATGTTTCTGTTTCTCTCTCTCTCTCTCTCTCTCTCTCTCTCCCTTCCCTCTCTAAAAATAAATAAATAAAATCTTAAAAAAAAAAAAACAAAAAAAAAATATTCCAAGGTCTGACTATGGAACAATGAGATGAGGCACACCCTAAATTAACTGTTTCTCTCCTTTTATGAAAATAAAACCATCAGGCTGGAAACTATACTACATTGATAGGAGCCTGGTTAAAGTAATTCCTTCAAAAGACTTTTGTGCTTATTCCAATACAGTGCTCTAACTACATTTAGAACTTGTACTTTATAATGGCTTTTAGAGTCAAGTATGAGCCAAAAGGGAAAAAAAATAATGTTATACACCCAAACTGTGTTACCCAATTGGTTCATTCACCCACAACATTAAGCGGTTTGGGCTCCAAAACTTTTTAGTACTTTTAAAACCCAAAATCATCAATAGAAATTATGATGCAGCACCACTGAAGCAATTAAGTAACAACATGGCAACTGGTTCTAAAGACCTCCCAGGAAGGTCACACTGAGGGGAAATGAATTTATTTGAAGTCTATCTGCTAGTTCTATTGTTGAAAAAATCATTTTCCTTGCCTTACTCAATAAATATGTATTTACCATGGAAAAGAGTATAATTTAGGAGAATAATTAAATGAAAAATAGTTATTAGCCTTAGAGCAACAGGTGCTTAATAATGATGGTAAAAACCAGAGATTTTCCAAATACTGTCCAGGAAATAAATGAATGGAGGAAGAAAAACCACTCTGGTGTGCTCTAATGTCAAACATGCATTCATCAGATATTTAATGGTCACCACCCCCTGAAAAAGAGGAATCGTGCTATGCACCAAGGGCACAGGATGAGACACAGTCCCTTGTTGCAGGGTGCCCAGCAATCTCGCACACCAGCAAGTTAGCCATCATGACCGTACAGACTGTGCAGACTTTTCCTCCTATGAGAAACAGAGAAACCACCTACAATTATAAAACAAGCACCAATAGGAAAAGGGAGTTTTTCATTATGGGATTATGAGAATACAGCTACTTTTTAAAGTATAATGTCATGCCATTTTCCTCACTGAAAAAAAAACAGAAGTGTTCCCCACAGGTGTTAGGTGAGTAAATCACATAGAATAAACTAAAGCTGCATGTGATATACTAGAAATCTGAGGTTCTCTCTCAGAGAACAAGCACAAAAAGATAATTCTCAACCGAATCCACATTTACAAGTTCTAAAGACAAGTCACGCATAATCTTACCATTGCGAAAAACCTTATTAAAATCAAATCCTTGGCTTGCCAGAAAGTCAATACTTGAGCTCTGAAACAAAAGAACACAGAACATACATTTCAGTGATGTTAGGGGCAGGTGTGTAAACAGAAGCAGACAAGTAACTCACGTGAGTAAATATAGGCAACCAGGCAAAGAACCAACATGCCAAAGATGAGAAGACAAGGGATTTCTACTCCCAGCCTGCCAATCAATCTATTCATTTACTTAAATTATCCAGGCTCTGCTCCTTTATAGCTTATAAAACAAATACCCTTTGTTTCACAATATATAAGGAAATCTTACTTGGTGAATATACATTCTCTCAATAGGCAGAAAACTCCTTATCACTATACTGACCAAATGACTATAAGTAAAAGTAAAATGTATTTGTATTATCTCACCCAGGTTCAAGTTTAAGTTAGCTCACTCATATCAGTATCTACTTCAAACTATAAAACATCACTATTCACAGCAAATTAGGTCTTAACTGGATGTTCTTTACATTCAAGATCAAAATAGACAAAAGTTCCCAGTAATAAGCCTTATTACACAAACATCTCAAAACTAGAGTGAGCCAAAATATGTAAGTAAACTTAAATTAAAACATCAAGTAAATAAATTACACAATGTACACAAATATGGCAAAATCACAAAGTCCTTACTCAAGCTGACTGAAGAGTGGAAAACATTACTCTAGCTACTCTAATTTTACTGTTGTTTTAAGTCTGAAAATGAAAAGGCAAAGCATTTGAATCATTTTAATCTGACCTCTCACAGAACTACCTTTCCTGAACTGTACTTTGACATTATACCATTAGTCTAGATTGAGGGGCACGGTACTGTCCCATTAAACTCATTACAGCATTCACTTGAGAGAAAAGACAAGGTCTACATTAATGATTTCTTTGTGATAATGGACGGGGAAATGTTCTGAGGTCTCTAGTCTCAGCAAAGCTGAACTTCTCCTGAGCTCTGGTTTGTTCTGATCCTATGGCCACAGATCATGAGTTTCCCCCTTTTCTTAGCTGGTAGAAAGCTGAAAAGTAAAGAGTGGAGACTTGCTTTGGCACAAATTCTGTGTTCTAATCATACTACAGCAATCACATCTGCATTTTTCTTTTCTTCCAATGTTTTAATTTATATTTTGTAATCTTCCATTAAAACCTTATAATCTTATTAGCCCACACAAATTCTTTTTCAAATATGGTGGAATATAAAAAGACACTCTTATACACACACACACACACACACACACACACACTCAGGTACATTTACATCATTTTCCATCATGGCCAGGTTTTCTACAGTTTTAAAACAAGCAACCTTTCTCCTGACGTCTTCCATTTTTATTCTGTTCTGAAGCAAGACCCAATGTCTTCTGACTTGGGCCAAAAGCCACCTTGCTTGCATAGTCTTGTAATTCTGCCCACCTACATATTCCACCACTGACAGAAGCACTGAAAGATGTACTATAGATAGGCATTCTTGCCCCTCTTATAACTAGATTCCAAAACATCTTAACTTCCTCCTCTTTAAAAATCCAGAGTCAAAGATTCATCTATTCCATTTCTGAAGCTATGGATTTTCCAGCCAAACTTAGGTTGCACATGTAACCAAAATAATGTAAATGTGACTAATGCCACTGAACTTAAAACCACTAAAAATAATAAATTTTACGTAATGTAATTTTACTATAATTTTTTTAAATCCTTTGAGTCAAGTGGTTTACTATCCACCACTTTTGGTTTGTGTTAAATGCACCATTTTCAGGATTCAAGAGATGAACGCAGCTATCTGGGAAGACAATTCCACTGCTAGAAAATCTGTCCTATAAAAATACTCCTATATAAACACAAAAGTATACTGCACATGGATTTGACTATAGCACTATTTAAATTGGGAACCATTGGAAAGCTTCTAAATTCTAATCCAATAAACTTATACATATCTGTACTATGGAATATAAGGATGTGTTAAGTGAAAAATGCAACTTACATAAAACATGAATATTAGGATTCTGTGTATATTAAAGAAAAAGCTAAAATTCTGTGTATGTGTGTAGACATATGGATATAAGTATACATGCTCATAAAAATATAGAAAAAGAAGTGAAATGGGAAGAGGTTTGGAAAAGAGAGCATTACAAAAAAAACTCATTTTCTACTCTATAGATAGCAGCAATGTTTCATTTTTCACCATGTGTATCATCTTCCATTAATTCAACTACAGATGTTCAGCCAGAAAAAAGGAGAAGAAAAAGAGGAGATGAAAACAATGTAAATGCCATGCTATTCTGCCTGTCATTCCACAGGAAGGGCACATTCACTGGGAGTGTGTGTGGTTCTCAGTCTGCCCATCCCTCCATATCCTGCCTAGTGTGTGAGCGTCTCACTGTAAGTACAGATATTGCTTTTCAAAAAGCACATTAGGTTGCTTTATCCCCGCCCCCATATCCATCTACTTTAAGGGTGATAACAGCTTCTGAAGGGTGATTTTTGACTAGATGTGATTTTCACCCTACTTGTTGACTCCAGGTCCTAACTCCCTTATAAGATATGACTATGCTGCAGTCATAGAATTCTAAACAAAACCAAACCCACCTTAGATGGAGGAAAAAGGAAAATTCAAAGACATAATCATTTACCTTATCCATACAAATCACAAGTTTACATGCTAAGTCTAAACCTTTTCTCTGTCTTTGCTTTTCCTGCCTAGAGAATTACAGCCTTTTTAGCACTCCTTCCATTTAAAACATTAGTCTCTGGCTTATCTTCAAGTCTGTACCTTTTTCTTCTTTAAGGAATGGATAGCAACTAGAACTGTATGAAGTATTCCAGGTGTAGCCACAACATGGCTATGTACAATGGATAGAGTTCCTCTAAACTGTTTCCAATGTATCTCCTAGAATAACCTTATTTGTGTTGATCTTTTAGAACAGAGAATCATCCCTAATGTGCTTCAATGCCACTGTTTTTTTTAGTTCAATTTTTTTAATTCATATTTAAGTGACATCATACAGTATTTATCTTTCTCTATAGAACTTATTTCACCTAACACTATATAAGTGAACAGTGTATAGAAATGCACTGATATTTGAACACTGACTTTGATTCCTGCTAATTTACTATATCTGATTATTATTAAGAGTTTGATGGTAGAATCTTTAAGGTTTTTTTTTTTGTAACTTCTGGCTAAAGCCATGGAACTCACTTTAAGTAACTCTCTTCTGCTGGTACTGCTGAAAAACTGGAGCCACACAAATTTCCAAACTAAGCCTATTTTTCTCTCAGTGAAGAATCTACAAATACTCTTTATTTAAGTATCATATACCAAGGTAACTGTTAAATAGCTGTTAACTAATTGAAGGGTAAAGAAAATATCAACTATGGTTTGTTTGCTAATTTAAGAAAACAGGTTACAAAACCAAAATTACATCCATGCTTTCTCTTCAGCCCCAAACATAACTGAGATTATCTCACCATTTTATTTACTATTATCTGTCTTATTACAGAAAGAATCTGACATGACTCAGTCACTCAAAAGTCTTCCCTTCAGGATTTCTTAACTGCATTACTACTTACATGCAGGAGAAAGGAAAGTCAGGAAGACTCAAATGAACTAATGTTGCTACTGAGAGAGAAGCTAGGGCACAAGACTATAAGTGGAAAAAGATTAACACTCATGTTTAATCACATATCCACACTAAAATACTTATTCACATTCTCCTTATCCATTATAACAGATTACTAAGAGCAAAGAAAAAGGAAATTGATATTTACTGAGTATGTATCAGGTCAGCTACAACAACCCTAAAGGGGATGTTATAAGGGAGAATCTCCCGTATGCTTACCTTGGCTCACAAAGTAACTCCTCTCCTCCTGTGGAGGGAACCACCCTCCCTTTACTAATGGGTAAGCTTGGGAAAAGGCACTAAATGTATGTAGTTTAACTCCTGGGTTCTCTCTTTTTAGACAGGATAAGCATATACTCTGCTCTTCCAGAAAATAAAGCTCTACTCTTGGAGGTGGGTGTGTAAAGAATGAGATGGAAGTCTGCAGGTCCTGAGCTGTAAGTTCAATTCAGGTGCAAGATATTAAAACCCCAAATAGAGCTGCATTACGAAGCCAAATTCTCAAAGCCATTCTGTGGCTATACCTGGAACACTTCGTGCAGTTCTCAAAGTTTTACTAATAATAAAGCTAAGTTTGGATTTCTGCTTGTCACTTGATTTCTTAATTCATTTCGAAGTAAAGTGAGAGATAGTGTGATTAATTTACAACCCTACAAAAATGAAGGTCAGAAAGGTTAAATGATTTGCTCAAAGCCCAAAGTTAGTGGCAGAACCAAATTTTAAAGAGAATTCTGATTCCACATATCCACACCGACCTATCAGCAAGTCACAGCAGAAAAAAAAAACTAAACTAAACTAAACTAAATTCAATTATGTTACTAACCTGACAAACAAATTTGACATCTGGGGAGGATCTATTGAAAGGTTTCGGGAACACATAGAAGTTAAATGACTTTATTATATACCTGGAAAAATAAGACAAAAGGAGATTTAGACGGTTATATTACACCATGACAAAAGAATTCCCACCACTTGTTAAAACAACCTACTTTGAATTTATGTAGTCATACTTAAAAGTGCAAAGGCCAAACTGAAACAGCAAAAAGTCCATGGAATGCTGGAAAAGGGAAATAAAACATCTGTCAAAACAATGCCATATATTCTATCAAGCAACACTATTCTCAATTAGGCAGGCTAATTACTCAATTTGACTTCAGCAGAATACTTCCAATTAGAACAGATTACAGATTATGTATTAGAAGCATTATTAATTTATACACATTTCTTAATATTTTTCCCAATTCAGCACCTATCCACCACCCAGAGCATCATCATATTAGGCCTATTTTCAAATGATCAAAATAACCATATCATATTTCCTATACATCAAATTAACAACGAAAATACTAAATCTTCCCCAAAAACGTTTTCCAGCAAACAATTATTTTTGCTGTTGTTTTAAAATAATACTAAAATACTGTTTCACAGCTGGGGTTGAGAAGTCAATGTGCTAGTTTAATGATTGTATTTCTCTATAATTCAACATAAGGACGACCAACATGGGGAAAAAGAAGATTTTCTAGCACAACCACTTACCTTTTTAAGCTTCTGATACCTTTCTTCCGGAGTATCAAAACCATTTGTTAATGCGGTGACTGAAGGTCCATCACTGATTCCTAGATTTTAAGAAAAGTTAACTTTTTAGTAAATGCTAATGTAAAAATGTCATTTTTAATGTAAAAAAATATTCCATGGCTCTATAATTTTATATTCTCATAAATTAGAAAGTGCTCCTTACTTCACTCTTTCAAAATTAGCATTCATTTCAGTGGTCACCAATCTAAACTCTACAATAACGAATTTAGAGATGTGAACGTTTCAATTTGAGATTAGGCAGTCCTAGTGTCTAAAACAGGTTTCAAAACACAGTAATGATTAAAGAAAACAACCTCTATAATTAAGTTGTGTTGCTTTCAAAATTTAATGCACAATCTGATATCAGCAAATTCTGAAATATATTAGAGTCTCAGTGTTGGCCAACAGTTTGGAATAACATCTACACAACAAAGGTATTTTCAAGGTCAATAGAAAATGATTTCTGGTGAAAACTCTTAGCTTCACACAGAATTGACTCCAACTACAAAAGGCATGTATAATTAAAACCAAGGAATCCCAGCATGGATTCCCTCAGAAAGAGCTGATGAGTTTTTTAAATACGTAAAATCGGACAGGGGAAGTGGATGCTTATACCAAAGATAGTCTACTGTTCATACTGACTTCAACGATTTAAAAATTAGTCTTTTACCCAAAGGAAAAAAATCCTTGCAATTGTGTTGGTGAAGTACTACACACACGTATACACCCATGCCAAGGTAAGCAATGAACACTTCCACAAATGCATAAAGCCCAACCCTGAAGTCGGTCACAAAGGGCAAATATTGTATGACTCCACTTACGGAAATGTCTAGAATAGCCAAATTCAGAGACAGAAACAGTGGATGCCAGAGGCAGGGGGAGGAGGGAGGAACTGGAAGTTGTTTTTCCGATGGATAGTTTCCATTTGAGAAGACGAAAAAGTTCATGAGATGGATATACAACAATGTGAATGTGCTTCACGAGAGTTAACTGTAAAACTACTTAAAATGGTTAAAATGGTCAATTTTGTTATATTTTACCACACACCCAAAAAACCCTGACCCTAAACGTCAAGCTCTCTACCACCCCTCTGTCAAAATGTTTTAAGCATCAAAACCATATTGTCTCTGCAACCCTCAGAGCACCAATAATCACAAATCTACTTCCCTGCTTCTGAAACATTTAAGAGGAAATGTTGAAGATTCGTGGAACTTGCCCAAGGATATAAACAGGGAAAACGGGCCAGCAAGCCAAAGTTAGGGGCAGGGTGTTAGGATTCGTCCTAGCTACGCAATGCAAGGTGTTAGCCGCGAGCTTGCAAGCAAGGGATACCTGAAAACTCCCCATCGATGGCAAGGAAGTCCGCTTCCTCTATGGCCTGGTACACTTTATGAAGATTACTCTTAAAATCTGTGGAGAAACCGAGAAGCTCAGAACCGGTGGCCTGGTTGCCTGCCCACAAGCGCCTAAGGGGAGAGGGAAGGAGAGCGGAGGAATTCCGAAGGCCTGGGGCTGGAGGGCAAGTCCTGGAGGGACGCTAAAAAACGGACAGCGTCAAGTCTCCGAAGGATGCATGGGCCGAAAGGGAACAAGGGCTGAGGGTGTATGGATCAGGAAAAAGCAAGGGCCTGAGGGGTGCCGGGACAGGAGAACTAGGCCCCGAGGGGCGCACGGCCCAGAGAAAGACAAGCCCCCAAGAGGCACACAGGGTTAGGGGGGCAAACTCCTGACAAGCTGCCTCAGCCTCAGGCCGATCAAGCAAATTGGCCGACTGTTGTCCGGGCCTAGCAGACCCAGTGAGGGGAACCGCGGGGACGCAGGGAGGTGCATGCCGGACACGCACTGCTCCTGATTATCTCCATTCTGTACGGAGGCCGGAACCCCGGCTCCGCCCGGGCCGAACCAGGCAGTTCTACTCGCAGAGTTCCGCTGGCACCGCACCGGCGGAGAGGGAAGCAGTGGCAGAGACCCCAGCAGCGAGTTCCGGAAACAGCGCGCGCCTGTGAGCGTCACGTGCGTCTGCGTCACGGCGGGGGCGGGGTCAGGGCCGAGCTTCCCTTCACTCCTTGGGACAGAGGAGGGGCGTACCTATCCTCCTGGAAGTCCCCAGAGCCTGTTGTAAGTTGTGAGACTAGGCCGCAGGGCATTCACTTTAGAAGTAGGCGTGTCGTGACCTCCAGTCAATGAATATTTCCTGGGTTCCTATTGTGTGCCAGGCACTCTAAAAGGAGTGGGGACACAGTAATGAACAGAAAAGGCAAGGTCCCTGCCCCATTAGAGTTTAACTTGGGGAAACAGGGAAAAGTCAAGCAGGAATCAAACCTGCCCTTGAAAGCACAATAATCTATCTCTTTAAGAGAAAGAGCAAGATGCTGCAATAATAATAATGGGAGGGAGAGTTACAAGCAAGACCTTATCTACCACATTAGCCACTGGCAGTGGAGAGGAAAGCAGATGAAGTCTTGACTAAAGTAGTTTTGGGGGTTGCCGCTGATCCCCAGAGCCTGCAATAGTGCTGACACATAGTATAAGCTCAACAAACATAGGGAGAGTGAATGAATTCACCTTGATCTTTCACAAAAGTCAACTACGAAATTGGTTAAATCTGCCATTTATTAGGTCTAGGACTTATTCAACCTCAACCTCAATTTCCTCATCCATTGAATAGGGTTAAGGATCAGTGGTGATAATGTATGTGAATTGTAAAGCACTGTATAAGTAAATGCAAGGTACGATTATAGTACTCACTTGCTGCTGTCACATTTTCCTGCATTCACATTCTTAGGTTTGAAGGAATGCTGAGTACAAGCTACCTGTGCTTTTTGAAAAAAATAACCATTGTCATCGTCATCCCCCGCTCACCCCAAAATATTAAGTACTCTAAAGAACAAATAAGAGTCTGGTCATATTTTCCCCACAAGGTCCTGTTATATAGGACAAGGATCTCAAGGCCTGAGCCATTCTTACTACATGCTATTCTTGCTAAATGTTAAAATGTATTTTGCAGACCAATTGTAAACAGGATGAGCTTGGCAGGAACCTAATGTATAAATGTAGCCAACTGCAAAGAAGAAATCAACATGTAGTTGACCAAATAGTGAATATAAGCAATGTCTAAGCCTCCCTTCCTGGAAACAGAGCTTTGGATATTAATCCTGTTTCCTTTTCTTGCTACAAAAATACAAATCATCCTTGAGACAACCACATCTCATTCTTGAATAGAACACCCCATGCGGTGAACCCCTTGAGTTTGGTAGCAGTCCCACAACAAAGCCTTTTTCCTTGCCTCAGTCAATGGAAATTTATATGCAGGTAATTATTCCCACTATCCCTAATGTGAGGAACAGAAAGTGAATGTGAATTCTAGAGTTCAACTGGAATGGGGGCAGAAAAAAAAAATAATATGACAAGTAGTCAAACCTCAATCTTGAAATGTCTCTGCCTTCTTGTTTCAACTTAAAAACTAAATTAAAAGTATTAGCCCCATATAGCCACTTTAAGTTAAATTTAAGTAATTTAAATTAAATAAACATCCAAGTTTACAACAGAGATTTAGTAATCAAAACACTCTGGTTTTTATTAAAACTGGCATAAAGGAAGACAGAAACTAACTAAATGGAGAGCCCCAAAATAAACCCTGGCATATATGGTCAAATTATTTGCTACAAGGATGCCAAGATCATTCAATAGAGGAAGGATAATCTCTTTTTTTTCTAACTGTTCACACTATTACAGATATCCCCATTTATCCCCCAATTTGCCTCCCTCAGCCCAGCCCCTGTCTCTTCAACCTCCACCCCCTGCCATCACCTCATTGTTCTCCCTGTCCATGGGCTATACACACACGCATATATATTCTCTGGCCAATTTTGGGGAAAGGATACTCTTCTCAACAATGATGCTGGGAAAGCTAAACATCCACATGCAAAAGAATGAAGTTGGACCCTTACTTAATACAACATAAAAATAACTCAGAATAGACCAAATATCTAAACATAGGAACTGAAACTATAAGATTCTTACAAGAAACAAAGGGGAAAATCTCCATAATGTTGGGTTTGGCGATGACTTTCTGACTATGACACAAAAAACACAAACAGAAGGAAAATAGATAATTTGAACTACATCAAAAATAGAAACACTTGTGTATCAAAGGACACTATCCATAAGATGAAATGGCAACAATGAAATTGGAAAAAATATTTGTAAATTACATACATAATAAAGGGCTAATCCCCATAAAATGTAAAGAATTCCTACAACTTGACAACTCAAAAACAAGCAATCCAATTTTTAAAATGGACAAAGGATTTGAATTGCATTGACTGATGTGGCTCAGTTGGTTGGGCATTGTTCCACGGAACCTAAAGTCCCCAGTTCCATTCCAGATTAGGACATGTGACTGGGTGGTGGTTTCAGTCCCAGGGCACATACAGGAAGCAACGGATCGATGTTTCTCTAGCTCATCAGTGTTTCTCTCCTGCTCTTTCTCCCTCTCTTCTCCTCTCTCTAAAAATAAAGAAATAATCTTTAAAAAAAATTTAAATGGACAAAGGATTTGAAAAAATAGTTCTCAGAGAAGCTATGCAAATGACCAATGAGCACATGAAAAGATGGTCAATATCACTAATGCAAATCAAAACCACACTGAGATGACATTTCACACCCACTGGATGAAAAATTAGAACTTTATGCACAGCTAGTAGAAGTGTAAAACAGTGAAGCCACTATGAATAACAATATAGTGAGTCTTAATTTTTTTAAATTTTCACCCAAGGATATACTTATTAACTTGAGAGTGAGAAAGAGAGACATCGATGTGAGAGAGAAACATCAATTGGTTACCTCCTATACACACCTCAACCAGGGATCTGACCCACAACCTAGGTACGTGCCGTGACTGGGGACCAAGCTTGCAACCATTTGATTTAGGAGATGACACTCCAACCAACTGAGCAACCCAGGCAGGGCATAGTATGATAGCTCTTTAAAAATTAAAAATAGAATTATAGGCGGCAGCAATTCCACTTTTGAACATGCAGCCAACACAAGTGAAACTATAAGTTTGAACAAGTATTTATACACTCATTTATTAGCAGCATTATTCACAATAACCCAAAGGTGGAAACAACCAGAGTGTCCATCAACAAATGAATAGACAAAATGTGATATATACATACACTGGAAAATTATTCAGCCTTAAAAAGGAAGGAAATTCTGGTATGTGCTACAACCTATATGAACCTTGAGGACATTATACTAAGTGAAATAAGCCAGTCACAACAAAATACTGTACTATTGAAGTTATGTGTGGTACCTAGAGTAGTCAAATTCAGAGAGACAGGAAGTAGAATGAGGGGTTACCAGAGGCTGGGGGATGGGACCATGAGGAGGTGTTAAATGAGCATGGAATTTCAGTTTGGGAAGATAAAAAAAGTCCTGAAAATGTATGGTAAAATGATGGTTGCACAACAATGTGGTTATACTTAATGCCACTGAATTGTCCACGTAAAATGGTTAAAATGGTAGTTTTTATGTTACGCCTTTTAACACACACACACACACACACACACACACACACACACACACAATGCTGATACCTATTGCCAGAATATCCTCCAGAAAAATGAGTTCACACACTCCTGGCACTAACACAAGTCATTACCAATCTTTCTACTCTTTAGTAATTTGATAGGTAGAAAAAGTCACCCAAATGATAAACTTAACGATTTAAAACATTATAAAACGCAGTAAGGTCATTTTAATTCCTATTCTAAATGATACTTTAGCCATGGCCCTGATTTTCTACGTAAAAAAAATGTGAAGGCAAAAGAAAACTATGGAAGTACAGTGAGGACTTGTAATGTTGTTTTAACTTCTTGGCAAATTTCCTCAGAAACAGCCGCCTCAGAGTAGCGGACACAAACACCTGACAAGCTCTGGACATTAGTTGCTCCCTGGCCCCTAGCGGTCCCTGGGAGGAAAGGGCGGGACCGAACATAGTACGCATGCGTCAAAGTCCTCGGCCTGGGAGTGGCCGCTCTAGGCAGCAGGGAGGTCGCGGGGTTCAGGGGGCTGGGAAACAGTGCGACCTCTCATCTATGGTCGGGAAGGCCGGGCACGCTCCTTCGCCGTCTTAAGTTACTTCCGGGAGTGAAGCTGCCAGCTCCTCTTCTGCTTCCGCAGGGTCCAGGTAGGGGGCGACCGCCGGGTGAGCCTCGGGATGATCGCAGTGGTAAGCAGCGCCGCGGAGGATAATAGAGAGTGGGCGACCCGGGCTCAATGTAAGGACGGGATGTGGAGGACGGGCATGGGGTTAGAGGTCCGAGGAGGCACGCAGGGCTCTCCTGAGCAGTTGCAGTCCTGGCCTCAAGGCTTGGACCCCAACTTGGCCAACTTCCCCATCTCTCCCGAGAAGCCCACATCGGCATGGCGGGTCTCTGGGTCTCTCCTGTTTCCCCCTCCCAAGTTAGCGTCAGCCTCCCCCTCCAGAATCTCCCCAGGGCGAGAAGGAGGGGGCGTCGTTTCCACACACCTGGTGGGCAGACGACGGAGCGCCTGACCCGGAGGAGCACCTGCTTCAGACTACGACAATATGTTCAGAATCGATTAGGCTCCTGATGCCAGGCTGGGCTTCAGGTCTCATTGGCGAGGCACTATATGCCATACAAGACGAAACGATTGCTCCCCTTTTAAAATAGGGTAACGGGCCCTGGTTGGGTGGCTCAGTTGGTTGGAGCATGTCGTCCCGCACACCAAAAGGTTGTGGGTCCCGTCCCTAGTCATGACGCATGAGAAGCAACCCATCGATATATTTCTCTCTCCCTTTCTCTTTCTCCCTCTCTCTCTCTCTCTCTCTCTCTCTCTCTCTCTCTCTCTCTCTCTCTCTCTCTCTCTCTCTCATTAATAAATACATTCTTTAAAAAATAGGGTAATGAAGGCGAAAGTGAAACCGCACACTCACAGTGGGATTAGGCTGGAACCAGTTCTGTGATCCCAAGTTTACGGGCAAAAATCTGAGCTTGTGCGAAACGAAGTTTTCTTTAGGGCGCAAAAAAAACCCAGCAAGTGAAAATCAGTCTGTGGGTCTAACTGGTAATCTTTGGCAGGGCAAGAGGCAGCCCTGTCAGTGCCCGAGAGGGCTGCCCTCCTACTTTCGTGGAGAGGATAAAGTGAGAGCCCAGAACGTCTTGTGCCCTCAAATGTCGCTGTTGAGCCATCCCCGCCGAAGCCCATTGGTTGGTTCATTGGGGGTGGCCCTCGGGTCACGCTGTGAAAGACCTATACGAAGGAAAGAGATTTACTCTCCCCTCCACCCTCAGGCACACCCCACACAGCCTGTGCTGACTGCACGTGCTGAATGAGTTGTTTGGTTTGTTTTTGTTATGGCTGTTTTAAACAGCTAACCTGGGTATACCATGGGCTCTATGGTGCTGTCAGTACTTACTGTAGCTGGCACTCGGTAAACACAACTATTATTTTAACAATGCCACCATACAGTAGGCTTCTTGAATAGCTATAGATAGAAGTTATCCCTTAAACCTCATTCACAGTAGATACTATTTTCCTGAATTTGTAAGTGAGAAATAAGAGACTCAGGGAGAATAAGTGGGACCTGCTTTGGAACCCAAGTCTCATTTCCATGACCATAAGAATTTCCATTTCCATGACTAAACTATACCAGCTTCTCCAGGGACATTATAGTCTATGAAATGGCAAAACATGCACAAATAAAGATTAAGTTAGTGCACAGAGGCAGGAAGGATTAATTTGAGTATGGAGGTAGTTAGTCATTAAAGACATTCAAATGAAAGTTAATTTGAGTCATGTCATCTGGACACTTGACCCAGAGATGGTGTGGAACTGTGTTACGGCTGGAGGGATATGGAAAGATGAGCAAGGAGCAGGAATTAATATATGGGACTAGAGTGTGAATAGGTGAATAGTAGGGGATAATCACAATAATAGTAATAGTTAACACTTAAATTGCACTTAATATGTCCCAGGCACTATTCTGAGGGCTGTGCATAGGTAAATTTATCTAATCCACAATCCAGTCAGGAAGATGCTATGAACATCTCCATTTTACAGAGGAGGAAACTGAGGAACAGAGTTTAGGTGACTTGCTTGAGGTCACACAACTAATAATTGGTGGAGCTGGGGTTCGAACTCAGTCATTCTGGCTGCAGAATTTGTACTCTTTAAAAAGTTGTGTTGATTGTGAGCAGGCTGTACATATTCTTTTTTTTTTAAGATTTTATTTATTTTTAGAAGGGAGGGCAGAAGAGAGGGAGAGAAACATCAGTGTGTGACAGAGACATGGATGGGTTGCCTCTGGCATGCCGCCAGCCAGGGACCTGGTCCATAACCCAGGCATGTGCCTTGACCAGGAATCAACCTTCGAACTTTCGCTTTGCTGGAGTAGACCCAACCTACTGAGCCAAGCTGGTCAGGGCCATAAAGATTCTTAAAGGACAAGCTTCCAACTGTGGGTTTTAATTTATTTTTTCTTTTGAAATTTTTTTAATTCAAATACCATTCTGATCACTCATGGTCCAAGAACATTAAAATGATAAACCAGAAAGAAACAGATGTAAAAGATGGATCTTCAAACATTGTAGCCAGTGACACCACACTTGCCTATGATCTCGCTGATGTCAAACCACACCCACACCTTAGTGGCCACCAAAGCGTTCAGCAGAGTTTCCATGACTGAACTGTTGGAAGCTACCAGTTTGAGCACTGTTGACTAATTTTTTCAAGCTCTGAATAGTTGTTGGGATCTCAGCAGGGGTTGGAGGAATCAACTCAACTTTGGTATAGTGCCAGAGTGTGTAGCCAATCCTGGCTTAGAGTAAGTCACCACAGCATTTACCAGCACTGGGTCCTTCTCTGCAAGGTTACAGACAAATTGGGTCATGGGTCTAGGATGGAAATTCTGCGGCTCAAACAGCTAGATGAATGTCTATGGGTTTTAATTTCTCATAGTTGGAAAGGTTCTGAGAAAAGGAAGGGCTTGATCAGAATTGTGTTTTAGGAGGATGGTTTGGACAGTGGTGAGAGGAAGGACTGAAGAGAAGAGCAATGGAAATTAGAAATGTTATTGAAACTTTATTTTGTTTACACCTTCCCCATTCCTTGTCTGAAACATATCTAGGGCATGTAAGTGTTTATTTGTACAGGCATGCTTCAGAAATACTGCAGGTTTGGTTTTGGTTCTAGGCCACAGGAATAAAGTATCACAGTAAAGCAAGTTGTAATGTTTTTGCTGGTGGAGGGCCTTGCCTTTAATTTGTAAAAAATGCAACACATGTGAAGTGCATTACATTGAAATACAATAAAACAAGATCTGCCTGCATGAACAGCTGTCTAGTTCCCAAACTTTTGTGTGCATAAGAATCTCATGCACAGGGGCTGGTTTGTTTAACATGTGCATTCCTGGCTCTCTCTCTCTCAGATACCATTTTGATATCCTGTTTCCCAGATATCACCAAACTTGCCAGGTGATTCTGATAGAGGTTCTAAGAAATTACAGAGTCAAATTTTTCTTGGTTTCATTTTCATCTACAAATCTGTAGAGCCCAGCTTTGTGCTAGCAAATCTCAGGTGTGGTGATGAAATTCTATGGGTTGGTTTCTGACCTCAGGGAGCTCAGAATTTGGTTGGGGAGGCAAAGACTATTCAAACATTAGTGCAAGAAGCATAAGAGCAAGCTAAACCTGAAAAGGATACCTCATTTTATAATATGTGAATCATAACAGAATGGCTTAAAAACAACACTTAAGGCATGGTTTACTGGTACATACCAGTAGTTTTTGGATCACTTTCTGAGTTATTGGATATCTACAGCACTGAGTACAGGATAGGTTATTAAATTAAATGCCACATAACAGAAATGACAGAGGACAGTCTCTAGAGAGAGCCAGGACAGCCTTTTCACTGTTGCCCAACAGCACTCAAACAATAAATCACCGGGCCTCAAAGTTCAGGCAGCAAATCACTGGCCTCAAAGTTAAGGCAGCAAGTCAGTATTCAGTGAGCCAGCTACCTTTGCCCTAGTGATTTCTGACCTAATCCAGAAAGAAAATCTGTTTGGACTTGGAAAAACACAAGGTTTAGTACGGTAAGAGCCTGGAAATGCTTCTCGTATTAATGAAATCCAGTTTTTGCCGCCTATAAGAAGTGCACTTAGTGGTCTCCTTTAATGCTGTTTCTGACCCTTGCGTTGCTTACATTTGGACACATTTTTAAAAATTTCAGTCACAATAGCATGGTTACGCTTTGAACATTTAATAATGTCTGTAATATTCTGCCAGTGTTTATTTTTTAAGTATATTTTATCGATTATGCTATTACAGTTGTCCCACTTTTTTCTCCCCTTTATCCCCCTCTGTTCTGCACCCCACCTCCCTCCAGCATTCCCCTTCCTTAGTTCATGTCCATGGGTCATACATATAAGTCCTTTGGCTTCTCCATTTTGTATACTGTTCTTAACATCCCCCTGTCTATTTTGTACCTACCATGTATGCTTCTTATTCCCTGTACCTTTCCCCCCATTCTCCCCTGCCCCCTCCCTGCTGATAATCCTCCACGTGATCTCCATTTCTGTGATTCTGTTCCTCTTGTAGTTGTTTGCTTAGTTTGTTTTTGGGTATTTTGTTTGTTTTTTAAGATTTTATTTGCTCATTTTTAGATAGAGGGGTAGGGAAGGAGAGATGGAGAGAAAAATCAGTATGTGGTTACTTCTCACATGCCCCCTGCTGGGGACTCGGCCTGCAACACAGGCATGTGTCCTGACTGGGAATCGAACTGACAACCCTTTGGTTTGCAGCCCACACCCAATCCACTGAGCTACACACCAGTCAGGGCTGCTTAGTTTGTTTTTTTGTTTTTTAGGTTCAGTTCTTGATAGTTGTGAGTTTGTTGTCATTTTACTGTTCATAGTTTTGATCCTTAGATAAGTCCTTTTTTAAAATATATTTTATTGATTATGCTATTACAGTTGTCCCATCACCCCCTTCATTACCCTCCACCCTGCAGACCCTCTCCCACCCATATCCCCCCCTTTAGTCATGTCCATGTGTCATACTTATAAGTTCTTTAGCTTCTACATTGCCCATACTATTCTTACTCTCCCCCTATCTATTTTCAACCTACATTCTGTGCTACTTATTCTCTGTACCTTTTCCCCCTCTCTCCTCCTCCCACTCCCCTGTTGCTAACCCTCCATGTGATCTCCATTTCTGTGGTTCTGTTCCTGTTTTACTTGTTTGCTTAGTTTCTTTTGGTTTTGCTTTAGGTGTGGTTGTTAATAATTGTGAGTTTGCTATCCTTTTACTATACATGTTTTTTCTTTATCTTCTTTTCTTAGATAAGTCCCTTTAACATTTCATAAAATAAGGGCTTGGTGATGATGAACTCCTTTAACTTGACCTTATCTGAGAAGCACTTTATCTGCCCTTCCATTCTAAATGAGAGCTTTGCTGGATAGAGCAATCTGGGATGTAGGTCCTTGCCTTTCATGACTTGGAATATTTCTTTCCAGCCCCCTTCTTGCCTGTAAGGTCTCTTTTGAGGAATCAGCTGACAGTCTGATGGGAACTCCTTTGTAGGTTACTGTCCCCTTATCTCTTGCTGCTTCTAGGATTCTCTCCTTCATTTTTACCTTGGCTAATGGAATTATGATGTGCCTTGGTGTGTTTCTGCTTGGGTCCAACTTCTTTGGGGCTCTCTGAGCTTCCTGGATTTCCTGGAAGTCTATTTCCTTTGCCAGAATAGGGAAGTTCTCCTTTATTATTTGTTCAAATACGTGTTTAATCTGTTGCTTTTCCTCTTCCCCTTCTGGTACCCCTATAATTCGGATGTTGGAACGTTTAAAGATGTCCTGGAAGTTCCTAAGCTTCTCCTCGTTTTTTTGAATTCTTATTTCTCCATTCTTTCCTGCTTGGATGTTTTTTTCTTCCTTCTGGTCCACTGTATTGTTTTGAGTCCCAGTTTCCTTCCCTTCACTATTGGTTCTCCGTGCATCTTCCTTCATCTCTTTTATGGTAACCTGCATTTTTTTTTCATGTAATTTGCGCCCAAAATCAACCAATTCTGTGAGCTCCCTGATCACCAGTGTTTTGAACTGTGCATCTGATAGATTGGCTATCT